TTAGTCTGCAGTTGTTAGTAGAGGCTGTGGTGAGGCTTTGCAGGGGATGGGACCCCAAGTGGACCAGTCCTCTTGGAGGGGTGAGCCAAGCACAGCTGTCATGAGCCCATGGGTGGTGCATGCAGGCCCCAATGTTTTACTAACAGTTCATTACCCATTGAGCCAATGAACTGTTAGTAAAACGTGTTCCCTTCTCCTGCCTTGACCTTGATAATGGCCTGGCTGTCAAGTTTAGAATCCTCAGGCCCCTCAGAGTCAAGGTGGAAATGAAGGGTGTGGGAGAGCTGCTTTCATCCATCCTGGCTCCACCCATCACCAGGGACTCCTGTGTCCACGCAGACACCATTATTCATGCAGGGAGATGCATGGGAGCTGCCAGGATGTCTGGGAAGGGCACTCAGTCCTGTGTAGCCAGGCGCGGGGTGGACACATCCTCATGGCCTTGCAGGCCCCTTGACCCTGAGAGTGCTTAGGCCAACCCCTCTTGCCAGGCCCAGGGGTGGTACTGGCTGCTCTGCCAGACTCTACCCTGTCCCAGGACTGAGTCATGTACTCCAGCCCTACCCCGTCCTGGTCTCTAGGACCTGTGAGAGCCCACACCCCACCCTGTACATACACCAGCAGTGGGAGGACTCCACTCTGCCTTGGCAAGCTTCTGCTGAGGACCTCTGGCTACAAATCACTTTCAGTTTCCCCAAGTATGACTCCACCATCTTGCATTTATCACATTTTTGTGGGAGACACAGTAGTCTTAGATACTGAGATTTTTTTTTTTTTTTTTTTTTTTTTTTTTTTTTTGAGAAAGAGTCTTGCTATGTCACCCAGGCTGGAGTGCAGTGGTGCGATCTCGGCTCACTGCAAGCTCCACCTTCTGAGTTCGAGCCCTTCTCGTGCCTCAGCCTCTCGAATAGCTGGGATTACAGGCATGCGCCACCAAGTCCAACCTGAGATCTTTTTAAGTCCTGCTTCTAGGGTAAATTTTCCATGTGACCTGGAGCAATTTCTCTGTGAATTATCTTTCCTTCTGGAAAGTCAAACTTGTCACCACTAGCCCACCTTGGAAAGAATGCTCACCTTTACTTATTTTAGCATCTGAAATAGTCGCCGGGTGCGGTGGCTCACGCCTGTAATCCCAGCACTTTGGGAGGCCGAGGCGGGTGGATCACGAGGTCAAGAGATCGAGACCATCCTGGTCAACATGGTGAAACCCCGTCTCTACTAAAAATACAAAAAATTAGCTGGGCATGGTGGTGCGTGCCTGTAATCCCAGCTACTCAGGAGGCTGAGGCTGGAGAATTGCCTGAACCCAGGAGGCGGAGGTTGTGGTGAGCCGAGATCGCGCCATTGCACTCCAGCCTGGGTAACATGAGTGAAACTCCGTCTCAAAAAAAAAAAAAAAAAAAGAGTGAAATAGTTAATCTATAGAATCTAGCAGGTCGTCTCCAACCTGGATATTAGTCTAAATCATTTGGCTTCCAATGATGTCATTCCTCCTGGATGTATTGCCTTTCATGTAAGGCTTGGAGAAACAACATTGTGTGTTCATATGACATTATCCTTAATCTTGAAGTTGTTCAAATGAGTCAAGTTACGAGTTGACTTGCATCTTGGCACTTATTCCTTGGATGTGATTGAGAGAAAGACAGATTCCATACGAGTAGAGATGCGTTCTGAAAACCTTTGCAGGCTCTTACGTTCCCCTGGTCTTTAGGGCTGGAATTCTTCTCTTGGTGCCCAGCAGGGCACCCCACATGCCCTGCTCCTGCCAATTCCCATCTGTTTGCCTGAGGCCCAGGCCCTCACACGGTGGGTGGGGAAGTGGGGGAGGCAGGACAGGTTGTAGAATGCAGATTACTTCTGAGCAGTAGCAGTAATACTCTTTGCGAAATATTGTTTGTTCCTTCCATTTTTCTGTAAAACTGAGAGTCCGTCTATCACCTTTCTCCTCAGGCGAAATGTTTAGAAAGTGAGAAGGATGGAGTGCTCAACAAAGTCTTAAAAAGCAACATTCGCCTGGGAAAGTTGGAGGAAAAAGTCAAGGTGAGGAGTTACTTGGCCTTGCAGATTCCGTTTTCAGATGGTGTGGATTTTTGTCTTTAAGAAAATGACACATTTTTGCATGTGCGTCACTAGTAGTCCACAGAGTAAAAGTATTGTAAGATTTTGCTGGCGGAATAGCACATCTCACCTCATTCAGCAAACTTTGGTTCATCTACACAATAAAATACTGCACAGCTGTTTAAGAAAAAACATACGGAGCCAGGCATAGTGGCTGATGCTGTAATCTCAGTGACTCTGGAGGCCCAGGCAGGAGGATTGTTTGAGGTCAGGAGTTTGAGACCAGTCTGGATAACATAGCAAGACCTCAGTCTCTACAAAAAAATTTAAAAAGTTAGCCAGGCCTGGTGGCGTTTGCCTGTAGTCTCAGCTTCTCAGTAGGCTGCTGGGGGAGGATCCATTGAGCCCAGGAGTTTGAGGCTGCAGTGAGCTGAGGCTGCTGGGATTACAGGCGTGAGCCACAGTGCCCAGCCAGCAGTTGTTGATCACAATATGAAAACCAGAAATTAATAAGCAAAATCAGAAAACAAAAAGTTATTTCACTTAGAAGTGTAAAATCTGCACTAAACCATTCTTGGGTCAGAGAGGATGTATAAACCGAAAGTCAGAGTTTCTTATAAAAAATGAGCCTATGGAACTACGTGGCAGGTTCTCTGTGACAGTAATTTAAGAAGTGCTCACAGGACAATTCAGAACCTTAAGTACTATACAGTAAAAACGAAAGAAGGAAAGTAAATGACGGGCTTTCACCTCGCTGTCTGTCGGACGGCAGAGAGTGGCAGCCGTCGTGTTCTTAGGTGAGGCTTCCTGTCAGGGTGAAACAGTGCTGACCAGTATCAGCGTTAGTTCTTAGGTTTCCAGTTGATTCAGGGATAAATGTTGTCCCGGAAAAAATACAGCTGTAGATGAATTAGCAAGAACATTTGTTCTGTGATAGTGTTTTTTTGTTTTGTTTTGTTTTTCTGAGACAGGGTCTCACTGTGTCACCGAGGCTGGAGTGCAGTGATGGCGATCACACTCACTGCAGCCGCCGCCTCCCGGGTTCAAGCAGTCCTCCCACTTCTGCCTCAAAAGTAGCTGGGACTACAGGCATGTGCCACTACGTCTGGCTAATTTTTGTATTTTTAGTAGAGACGGACTTTCACCATGTTGGTCAGGCTGGTCTTGAACTCCTGACCTCAAGTGACCCGCCTGACTCAGCCTGTCAAAGTGCTGGGATTACAGGTGTGAACCACTGCGCCCCATGGTGATATTTTATGTTTTCATTTATTTTTAGCATACAAAGAACCAGGCTTCATGTACATTAAAATTTGGTTTTACTGTACCATAAATTATTTTATCACTTTTTATACTTTTATGATCCAGACTTACCCAGCCGGCTCCAACATTTCTGGGGTTGGCAGATTTAAAAGGCTCTGACATGCAAGGAGTGGGCAGGGAGTGCGGCCAGGAAGCACCGTCCACGCTGGCCTGGCAGTGTCCCCTCACTCAGAGTCCTTCCCCCGACCAGGGCTACAAGAAGCAGGCAGCAGTGAAGCTGGGGGACATCAGTCACCGTCTGCTGGAGCAGCAGGAGGACTTCGCCGGCAAGACAGCCCAGTACCGGCAGGAGATGCGGTACCTGCACCAGGTGCTGAAGGACAAGCAGGAGGTGCTGGACCAGGCGCTGCGGCACAACAGGTGGGGCGCCCGCCCTGCGCCGCGGCCCGCGGGGAGGTCGGAATGTTTGATCAAGGGTTCTGCTAAAACCCTCTGCGCCTGTTTTATTTGCTCCACAGTTTAATTTTGCTTTTACATTTTACTCTTATCTGAATGTAATACTGGTCTTGAGTTTTTGTTTTGTTTTTAGGTCTTGAGTTTTATTTGCTCCTCATTTTCTGTATTCTTTTAAAAATTCCTCTTGTTGGGCTTCTGGAATCAATACGCACCTCACCTGAGCTCAGGCCATCGTGCTAGAGCATCTGGCTGGCCAAGGTCAGCCCTGCAGTTCCTTATTCGACATGCCCAAGTTCGTTCTTGAGAGAACGCAGGGGTTTACACTAACGCCAAAGTCAAGGGCAGAATGTAACGGGAAGAGAAATGCCCTCGCAGCCTCTGCCTTCCTGCTGCTCCCATTCCCAGGGCCCCCACCGCTTCATTCCACACGGAGCCCTGGCTGCAGAACTCGGGCACCGAGGGCTCTCTTTGCTGTTAGCATTCTTCTGTTTGAGTTCTTGCTACTTTGGGGTTCACGTGGGCTCTATACTATTTTTTTTTAATTGTGCGATTTTAAACTTATTTCCCTCAGAGAAATGGAAGGTGAACTTGAAGTTGTTTGGGAATCCACCTTCAGGGAAAACCGAAGAATCCGAGAACTTCTCCAGGACACACTCACGAGGACAGGCGTGCGGGAGAACCCCAGAGCTCTGGTGGCCCCCAGCCTCAATGGTGTCACTCAGGCTGATCTGCTGGATGGCTGCAATGTCAGCTCCTGCGACCTGAAGACTCTTGCCCCTGCCTGCCAGAGTCTGCGGGAGCCCGTGGTGTAGGCTCTGCTGGCCTGACAGGTCCGCCTCAGGCAGGCCTTCCCTGGAGGGCAGCCCACGGTGGCAGCCGGAGGCGGGTAAACCCACCGAGCACTGCAGGTCAAGGAAGAAATAAATGGTCTCAGAGTTTAATCCATTGATAACATTTTGCCTTATTTTTAAAATTTTGGTTTTTATTTTTATTTTTCTGGAGCTAGAGTCTCACTCTGCTGCCCAGGCTGCAGTACAGTGGTGCAGTCATAGCTCACTGCAGCCTCAAACACGCTTGAGATCCTTCTGCCTCGGCCTCCTGAGTCTCTGGGACCTCAGGTGTGCACCACCAGGCCCAGCTAATTTATTTTTTCTTTTTTGTTAAGATGAGGCCTTGCTATGTTGCCGAGGCTGGTCTTGAACTCCTGGCCTCAAGCCATCCTCCTGCCTTGGCCTCCCAAAGTGCTGGGATGACGTGTGTGAGCCACTGCACCTGGCTTATTGTGCCTTATTTCAATAACGTGCTGCTGAAATGTGTTGAAGCCAAGGCATGTTCGCTGGCTGCGTTGTCACTGAGACGAGCCCTGACACCCACTGCTCTGGTGAGTAGGTGGCCTGCTGAGCGCGACTGCCTTCCAGCTCCTAGATGGGCAGCTGGGAAGCCCTGGAGGGATAAAGTGGGCCGTGGAGCCCTCATCCGTGTTTTGGTTGGGGAAGTGTCACTGGAGGAGCCAGGCCGTGGCAGTGGCCGGTTGAGAGCTGTGCATGAGCGCTGGGGTCTTTTCTTGTTTGGTAAAAACCAAAGTGCTCCTGTTCATGCTGAGTTGTACATACCTTTTCTGCCCTCTCCCCCAGCCCTTCTCCATCCTCCTGAGCAGGTACTTCATTCCCTTTTGTTTAGTTGGTCTTTTTTTGCTTGTTTTGAGACTGGTCTCACTCTGTTGCCCAGGCTGGAGTGCAGCGGTGCAGCCACCACAGCCTTGACCTCCCAGGCTCAAGCGGTCCTCTGACCTCAGCCTCTTGCGTAGGAGGGACGACAGGCATGCACTAACATGCCTTGCTAATTTTGTAAAAAATTATTTTTACAAAATTACTACTAAAAAAAAAATAGCCAGGCATGGTGGGGGGTGCCAAGGTGAAAGTAACCAAAGTCAAAATTTTTTCTAGGCTGGGCATGGTGGCCGAGCTGGGCAGATCACCAGAGGTCAGGAGTTGTGGTGCCCAAGCTGGTCTCAAGCTTCTAGCCTCAAGAAATTCTCCTGCCCGGGCCTCCCAAAGTGTTGGGATTATAGGTATGAGCCACCGCACCTGGTCTGGGAAGGTAATTTATTCTGGAACCACACAGCTCCCCACCTATGTAATGAGAGCCCTGCCTCACTGCCGCCACCAAGAAACATACCAGGGGCCATGGTTCTGTCCCGTGTGTGTCAGATGAGTGCCACCTCTCAGGAAAATTACCCCAGCCACTCAGGACCATTCAGTCCCAGGCATGCTGGAGGGACTTAGGGACACTGGGCTACAAAGGACCTTAACTGTGGGACTCAGGGGTGGCACCCTGCAGCATCTCCTTTTCAGAGCCCCTGGCGGTGAAGTCCTGCCTCTTGTTTCAGGTGTGAAGGAGGCCCCAGCACTGGTCCTTGGTCACCTGCAGAAGTTCCACATGTGATCTTTGATTGCCAAACAGAAGGTTGGGATAGAAAGTCGTAGTTCTTTTATGACTCCATAAGCTTATTCAACAGTTAAATCATTGTAATTTAATTTTATCTTACAAGCAGTAGAAAGACTCACCGGGATTAAAAACTGTGTATCATCTCCCTAGGAGGTGAGCTAACAAATAACTGATGCTATTTCAGAGGCACTTACGGTCACTCTGCAGCCTCCTGTAGACAGGCTGACAGGCGGCCGCAGCCCAGCATGGCTGTGCAGGGCAGGGGTGCTGGTCAGCAGGAACGCTGCTGCCACCATCGTGACCTAGAGAGCCACTGTTGATATCCCTGTCTTTCTGCCTTTTATTCAAACATTTTCTTCTTTTCAGAAGTGTCCACTTTTGTTCTTACATTTCTGCTTTAAGTTTTTCACACAGCACAAACGTACTTTGCAAGTGTGGGGACTCCTGCCCAGGGCAGGGGCAGGCGTCCCACAGACCCAAGTTTCTGCCCAGCCCCCTGCTGGTTCCCATAGGAAACGGGCAGAGAAGCCGCAAGTCCAGGATGCCAAGGAGGGCAGGGCAGGCAAGGCAGAGAGGCGTGCAGGGCGCTTGTGAGGTTCCAGGAGAGGACGGAGACAATGGGGTAGTTCCGGAAGGAACTGGTATGCCTCGGCCCTTGCAGAGTGGACAGGGTTTCAGGAGCTGCAGGAGGGTGGAGAGGACCCCAGGGAGCACAGCAGGGACTCGGAACAGCAGGAAGGGGTTTAGCCGGAGGCTGGGCGGGAAATGAGGTCAGACTGCATGGAGGAGAGCTGGGCCTGCTGGGAGGGGCTGCTCCTTCCACCCACAAGTGTCCAGTCTGAGCAGGGAACCCTTCTCTTTTCCTGGTCCTGGTGAGGTTTCATACGGCACTGGAAGATTCCTGGTCAAGGTGAAAGTAACCAAAGTGAAACAGCTGTAGAACATGACCCAGGCACTCGAGTGAGCCTTGCTGCCTTTGCCAATATTTAAAAGCGGCCCTGGGCATGGTGGTGGCGCCTGTGGTTTCAGCTACTCAGGAGACTGAGGTGGGAGGATCACTTGAGCCTGCGAAGTTGATGCTGCAGTGAGTTATGATTGTGCTGCTGTTCTGCAGCCTGGGCAACCGGCTGCGACCCTGTCTCAAAATAGTAAACGCCCTGGGGAAATGGAGACAGTGGACAGAGCAGGCTGGGACACAGGTGTGGGTGTGAGTCTGTTGTGAGAGCTGTCCTTAGTGCACTTAATGCCACTGAACCGTATGCTGGAAAACAGTGACAACGGTGAATTTTGTTACACAGTTTAAAAAGAAATAGCCAGGCCTGCTTCCTGAGTGCTTGTGTCATTTTATTTTCTCACCACTAAGCTCTGCGTGAGTTCTGATTGCTCCACGTCCTCATCAACACTTGATGGTGTTACCAATAACTGTTGAGAGGAAGGAGATTTAAGGCAAAGGGTAGCCGAAAATTGGCCCCTGGAGCACAGCTGTCCCTGCTCCTCACCCCCTTCCCCACCTGTGTTGTCAGCGGGAGTGAAAGGCACAGTTGCTCGTGTGGGTGGTTCAGGAGAGCCCTCCCTGGGCCCGGGCAGCCCTTCCAGCAAGGAGGGCTTAAGCTGAATGCGGATCCCACAGCAGAAGGCTGAGCCTCTTGGAATGGGGCTGGGCCGATACCTCAATTCTCAAGTAAGACAGGAAACATCGTCCACTCAGAACACGGCTGGGAGGGGCTGGGTGGCATGGGGAGGGCCCAGTGTGGCCAGGTTTGTGGCACCTCTGCAGGGTCACAGCTGGGCTGGGGTCAGGAGTGGCTGCAGCCAGGAGCTGGAGAGGGGATGGGTGCGGCTGGTCGGGCCTCTCATGATTTTCTTGAGGTGTGAGTCCATAGCCCCTAAGCTGGGTGGGAAACCTGCTGCTCTTCCAGCCTCCCAAGCTCAGCTCTTTTGTTTTTTTTTTTTGTTTTTTGTTTACTGTTTTTTTTTTTTTCCATTTATTTTTTTTATTGCATTTTAGGTTTTGGGGTACATGTGAAGAACATGCAAGATTGTTGCATAGGTACACACGTGGCAGTGTGATTTGCTGCCTTCCTCCCCATCACCTACATCTGGCATTTCTCCCCATACTATCTCTTCCCAACTCCCCACCCCCCCCACCGTCCCTCCCCTATTTCCCCCCAACTGACCCCAGAGTGTGATGCTCCCCTCCGTGTATCCATGTGTTCTCATTGTTCAACACCCGCCTATGAGTGAGAACATGCGGTGTTTGATTTTCTGCTCTTGTGTCAGTTTGCTGAGATGATGGTTTCCAGGTTCATCCATGTCCCTACAAAGGACACGAACTCATTGTTTTTGATGGCTGCATAATATTCCATGGTGTATATGTGCCACATTTTCCCTGTCCAGTCTATCATCGATGGGCATTTGGGTTGGTTCCAGGTCTTTGCTATTGTAAACAGTGCTGCAATGAACATTCGTGTGCATGTGTCCTTATAGTAGAACGATTTATAATCCTTTGGATATATACCCAGTAATGGGATTGCTGGGTCAAATGGAATTTCTATTTCTAGGTCCTTGAGGAATCGCCACACTGTCTTCCACAATGGTTGAACTGGCCTCATATATGTCTTCTTTTGTAAAGTGTCTGTTCATATCCTTCACCCACTTTTGAATGGGCTTGTTAGTTTTTTTCTTGTAGATCTGTTTTAATTCTTTGTAAATTCTGGATATCAGCCCTTTGTCAGATGGGTAAACTGCAAAAATTTTTCCCCATTTTGTTGGTTACCGATTCACTCTAATGACTGTTTCTTTTGCTGTGCAGAAGCTGTGGAGTTTGATTAGGTCTCATTTGTCTATTTTGGCTTTTGTTGTCAATGCTTTTGGTGTTTGCGTCATGAAGTCCTTGCCTACGCCTGTGTCCTGAATGGTGTTGCCTAGATTTTCTTCTAGGGTTTTTATGGTGTTAGGTCTTATGTTTAAGTCTTTAATCCATCTGGAGTTAATTTTAGTGTAAGGTGTCAGGAAGGGGTCCAGTTTCTGTTTTCTGCACATGGCTAGCCAGTTTTCCCAACACCATTTATTAAACAGGGAATCCTTTCCCCATTGCTTGTTTTTGTCTGGTTTGTCAAAGATCGGATGGTTGTAGATATGTTGTGTTGCCTCCGAGACCTCTGTTCTGTTCCATTGGTCTATATCTCTGTTTTGGTACCAGTACCATGCTGTTCAAAAAATCAATAAATCCAGGAGCTGGTTTTTTGAAAAGATCAACAAAATAGACCACTAGCCAGATTAATAAAAAAGAAAAGAGAGAATAACCAAATTGATGCAATAAAAAACGATAAAGGGGATATCACCACAGATTCCACAGAAATTCAAACTATCATCAGAGATTATTACAAACAACTCTATGCACATAAACTAGTAAACCTGGATGAAATGGATAAATTCCTGGACTCTTGCCTCCTCCCAAGCCTAAACCAGGAAGAAGCCGAAACCCTGAACGGACCCATAACAAGGTCTGAAGTTGAGGCAGCAATTAAGAGCTTACCACCCAAAAAAAGCCCAGGTCCAGATGGGTTCACAGCCGAATTCTACCAGACATACAAAGAGGAACTGGTACCATTCCTTCTGAAACTATTTCAAACAATACAAAAAGAGGGAATTCTTCCCAAATCCTTTTATGAGACCAACATCATCCTGATTCCAAAACCTGGCAGAGACTCAATAAGAAAAGAAAACTTCAGGCCAATATCCATGATGAACATAGACGCAAAAATCTTCAATAAAATACTGGCAAGCCCATTGCAACAGCACATCAAAAAGCTTATCCGCCATGATCAAGTAGGCTTCATCCCGGGGATGCAAGGCTGTTGTTGTTTTTTTTTTAATTGAGATGGAGTCTTGCTCTGTTACCCAGGCTGGAGTGCAGTGGTGTGATCTCAGCTCACTACAACCTCTGCCTCCTAGGTTCAAGCAATTCTCCCACCTCAGCCTCCTGAATAGCTGGGATTACAGGCACGTGCCATCACACCTGGCTAATTTTTTTATTTTTAGTAGAGACGGGGTTTTGCCATGTTGGCCAAGCTGGCCTCGAACTCCTGACCTCAAGTGATCCGCCCACCTTGGCCTCCCAAAGTTCTGGGACTGCAGGCAACAGCCACCGCGCCTAGCCTCAGACTCATCTCTTCCGCATTTTTGACTGGGGGTGGACTGGGTGGGAGGGTGCTGGAGGGAAAGGAGAAGGGAGGCTTTTATAGTTGATATTCCCCTGCAGGACCCTGCTGGGCTGCTTTGCAGGCCCAGTGTCTACAAACAACAGAACAGAGGTAGTGAGGACCCAGGCTGGGCTAAGGCGACCTCAAACTACAGAGTGCCTGAGGCCGCTTCCTGGAACTGGACAAGCCACCTGCTGCTGAGGACCCAGGCTGGCTCCCCGCATCTGTGCTGGGTGCTCTGGGCCCCCATCCCCTTGTTCCTCAGTCCACCCGTGTGTCAGCACTCTGCAGAAGGTATAGATGAGAGAGAGGAAGAGTGCACCGAGGTGAGAGCATTGCTGCCTGGAGTCATCAGGAGCCTGGAGCATCTGTTTCCTCTGGTCAGGAGGGTCCTGAGTATTTTATTTAAGAATAATTCTTTGAAAGTGAGAGGTTTGTGTGTAGTATATGTAACATACCAGGGCTGGGTTGCAAGCAACAGAAATTATACTGCCCAATGTTAAGGGAAAGAAGGAAATGTTTTGGAAATGTACACTCGGTGGTTCACACCACGTTTTGAGAAGGACAGAAGCCAGAATAGCTGTTGCCCAGGGTGATTCTCAGTAGTCGAACACTGTCAGCCTACCCTGTGCTTCACTCAGATAGCAAATCCTGGGAGACAGTGGCCTCTTGGCTGAGCCAATGTCCTGAGTCCTCCTGTGTGGCCAGAGAAGAGAGGTCCTTTGGTTGGTAGCCCACCAGTGTCCCCCATAAAGGGACAGTTCCCCCAAGTTGCGGATGCTGGGCAAACAGAAACAAGATTACATAAAATGGCACCTCCCTATGTTAGAGCCTTGACCTGTCACCCAGACGAGCCCAGTGGCACGACCGTAGGTCACTGCAGCCTTGAACGCCTGGACTCAAGCAGTCGTCCTACCTCAGCCTCCTGAGAGTATCTGGGACTCTAGGTCTACACCACCATGCCCGGCTAATATTTAAAAAATTTTTTCTTGTAAAGACCAGGGGCTCGCTATGTTGCCGAGGCTGGTCTCAAACTCCTGACCTCAAGCAGTCCCCCTGTCTCAGCCTCCCGAAGTGCTGATTTTACCGGTATGAGCCACAGTACCCAGCCCCCCAAAATAATACCTCTTTATTAAAGATCTTTGATGACACAGAACCCTCTTTCCCCAGCCTCAGCAGCAAACAGCTTTTTCATCACGTGTGACCACCATGGTTGAGAAAAGGGGCGGTGACCATGAACAGTGATGCGGTCGGTGGGGAAGGGAGCAGGATGGGAAGTCGTGTTTTGACGACGTGCTGTGACTGCGCTGGCTTCCGCAAGCAGGTAATTTCCTGTAAAACCATATTACTTGGAACACGTAAAAATGATGGACAAAGTTCGAAGGCAGAATTGTACTTTCCAATAGTTGTTGGATATATATAGATTGCTCCTAGATAAGAGGCTTGAAGTTTTTATGCTTTCCTTGCTAATCGTTTTATTGTTAGGCAGTACGTCCCTGACATTGAAAGCCCTTGTACACCACTGATTCATCACAAATTCTTATGGTTGGAATTCATGAGGTAAGGGAGCACCACTTCTATCTGTGGTCATGTGCCAGTTATACCTGTCTTTTGGGTCCCCCTCCAAATCCCCAAATACTACTGTCAGTAGCAGTAGGAAGGAATATAAGACTGAGTGAACTTAATGAATAGGAGAAAGTCTGAAAACTTGAAGGCAGGTCTGGAACAAGCTTTCAGTAGTGAAAGAAGATACAGCCTCTGCCTGAATGTTTGCCCAAGACCCTGCCTCTGTCATGAGGACAGTGAATTAGAGAACACGGCGCCCAGCTGGGCATCCCAGAGGCTGTGCAGAAATGGGTTGACACTATGGGATTAAAGACGTCTTTAAAACCATCACAGGAGGCCAGGTGCAATGGTTCATGCCTGTAATCTCAGCACTTTGAGAGGCTGAAATGGGAGGATCCCTTGAGCCCAGGAGGTCAAGGCTGCAGTGAGCCATGATCACGCCGTTGCACTCTAGCCTGGGAGCAAGCAACCCTGTCTTAAACACAAACCATCACAGAAGAAGGAAATGCTGGGTCAGGACATAACAATCGCCAAAATACGATATGTAGAAGACCACATATATGTCACCCCAAAATATACTTCTTTGGAATATGTTGAGCTGGTTATTCTAAGAAACTGCAGACACAACAGGTGTAGCTCTGAAAAGCTGACCTTTGCAAAAGAAATGTATGTCATGAAGGAAATTTACATGAGTACAAGTATCTACCAGGAAGAGACAATGTTCATTACCTGAGAGACTTATATTTGCCTAACCAGATGACCTTTATTCACCATGCATTTCCTTCCCTTGCCATCCCATTACTAGTCCCCAACAGCCCGGAAAACCCCAAGCCCCTCATCTCTATATAGCTCAGGATGCTATATAGGCTTTAGTCTTCTGGCCTTTCTTCAAGTCTCTTGCTTCGTGGGACTCTGTTGCATATACACATAATTAAAAGTTTCCCTCCCGTTAGTCTCAATTTGAAGCCCAACCAAAGAATCCAGAAGGGTGGAGGAAAGCATTTTCCCCTCCCCAACTGAAACAAAATGTGCACCAAATACAAGATAAAATGCAGATGCTGTGAATGTCTTCAAACTGCAAGCATTGTTGCAATCAGAAGGGAAAAGCACAGGTTGAAAGTGAAGGTCAAGAAATAGAATGGTAGGCTGGGCGTGGTGGCTCATGCCTATAATCCCAGCACTTTGGGAGGCCGAGGCAGGTGGATCACACTTGAGGTCAGGAGTTCAAGACCAGCCTGGTTAACATGGTGAAATCCCGTCTCTACTAAAAATACAAAAATTAGCCGGGTGTGGTGTCACACACCTGTAATCCCAGTTACTCGGGAGGCTGAGGCAGGAGAATCACTTGAACCCGGGAGGTGGAGGTTGCAACGAGCTGAGATTGTGCCACTGCACGCCAGCCTGGGTGACAGAGTGAGACTCAGTCTCAAGAAAGAAATAAATAAAATGGTAAAAATCACAGTAGGATTTGCATTTTGGGAGATCAAGGCGGGTGGATCACTTGAGGTCAGGAGTTTGAGACCAACCTGGCCAATATGGTGAAACCCCATCTCTACTAAAAATATAAAAATTAGCTGGGTGTGGTGGGGTATGCCTGTAATCCCAGCTACTCGGGAGGCCGAGACAGGGAGAATTGCTTAAACACAGGAGGTAGAGGCTGCAGTGCGCCAAGATTGCACCACTGTATTCCAGCCTGGGTGACAGAGTGAGACTCCATCTCAAAAAACAAAAAGAACCGACAGCAGGGAGGTGAAACTTCAGCCACGTGGCAGAAGCGCTGGATGGACAATGAACCAACCGTCTTCAAGAACTGGAGAAGATTTTGCTTTTTAGATCAAATCCTCATATTTTCCCCGAGAAGAAGCTTATGAGAATTACTCGAATACTCCCTGTGTATTCAAAGAGGGAGAGGTGGGGACTGGAGTGAAAAACACAGCTTTAAGAAACAGCCTTCAGAAACGCTCACTGTGGACCCAAAATGAACTCAAGTGGAGGTTTCTGACTTAACCAAAGACCCTCACACCCAGCCATTGGCAAAGGCTCAGGAAGACCAGGGCCTGGACATCCAAGGAATGTGCAAGTTCAACGTGTTCCATGAGGGGGCGCCCGTTGCTAGCCCCACTTTGCAGATTCAGACGCTGATCCTGGCAGGGCAGCCAAGCCCTTGCAGGTAGTGGGTGAGGTTGCAGGGCTATCTGCTGGGGCACTTGGTGCAGGGCGTCTCTGTCGTGGTCTGCAAACATGGATATGCCGGGTGCCATGATGAGTGCCGCAGCGCTAGGAGAAATGACCCCAGCAACCCCTGGGCAGGTTCTATCTGGGGTGTCAGCCCCTGGCTTCTACTCTCCAGGCTGTCTACCCAGGGCTCCGGGCATGGCGGGCAGGTGAACAGGCTGGGCCCTCCCAAGATGGGAGGTGACAAATTTCTAAATCAGGACCCTGCCTCTGGGACACCAAGGGTCCCCGTGTTGTACAGATGGCCTTCAGAGAAACTTGTCCCTCTCTCTGCTCTGCTTGCCCCAAGCTGACCCCCACAGACTGGCCCAGTTTCTTCCATCCCTGGCCTTAGGTTCCATCCAACATGTGGGATGCAGTTAAGTTTGCCCAAAGGCAAAGCTACCAGAGTTTTGGCTAAAGATGACAGCCACGATGCTTCAGACGCAGTGTTTAGGCTGTACCAGGCTGTTCTCCTGCCTGTCTCATAAGGAGCTCCCTTCCCTATCTGACAGGGCTTAGCACTGACCGCTGAGGCTGCCGCCTGAGCCTAGGTCCGATAGCAGCGTGGGGAGAACTTCTGCTCCCTCCTGGAGAGATCCAGACCCTGGCAGCCCTGGATGGGGACCAGAGCTCCCTGGCCTTGTGTTTCCCGTCTCCCCTGTAGGCCCCCGTTTCCCTGATGGGCAAGGTGTTGTGTCCCTTGTGTCTGATGAGCCGTGACATGGCTACGTGAATAGTACCACAGCCAGACCTGACTGGCTTTTGGCCACAGCTGCAGGGAGGACGCAGGGGCCTCAGGACTGCTTGTGGCTCCAAGTGGTGAAGCCCTGTCCCTGGTAAAGGTGAGTGGGAAAGGCTCGGCCACTCTCACCTGCTCAGCCAGTGGCAGGCCCAGGGCTAGGGAAATTCCTGGGCAGGGAGGAAACTGACCAACAGCAGAGTTATGCACACACAGCAGTTCCTGTTGGTGCTGCCTGACTTGAGTTTTAAATACAGCCTATTAAGGCAATTAGAGAATTGGTTCCAAAGTTTATCTCATCTGATTCCCAAAGATAAAAGAAGGCATCATTTATTTTATCGTTGTGTAAAACAGGTAGATGATTTGGGACCATCTGGTTTTAAGATAACCTGACATAGACACAAATGAACAAAATGGTTTCGGAGAGAAACTGATCTGCCTGACCCTCCCCTTTTTATGTCGCGTATCTATGCTTCATTGCTTAAAAAAAAAAGGTGTTTAATAATTACCCTTATTGACCTCTGTACTTTCTTGACTTCCTCCACTCCTGGGCACAAGACATGGCCATTCCTAGAGCTGGACCGTGCAGGCACAGGTGGTCAGCTGGGCCGCGGCTCCTCCGGCTCTGCAGGGTCACGGAGGAAGGTAAGGTCGGTGGGTGACAGGAAGGCTCACGGCTCTCCTGGCCAGCGCCTGGACAGAGAATTTATTGAGAGAGAGGGTACAGTGGTGCGTGGATATCTCCTAATTCAGTCTGAAACTGGGTTTCCTCAGCAATTTTTTCATTCCTTTCATCACTCAATGAAAAAGTATCGGCCGGGCATGGGGGTTCATGCCTGTAATCCCAGCTCTTTGGGAGGCCAAGGTGAGAAGACTGCTTGAGTCCGGGAGTTGGAGGCCAGCCTGGGCAACATAGCAAGACCCCGTCTTCACAAAAAATAACAGTAAACATTTTAAAAGTAGAAAGAAAAAGTACCTGTATTGTGGATCTGTGATGTATGGGGTGCCTTTAATCTTGGGGAGGAATGATAAGACAAACTTTCCTTCCCTAGACTTGATTCTGATAAATACATTCCAGGATATTTTAATTTTTTGTATGATGGAGTCTCGCTCTGTCACCCAGGCTGGAGTGCAATGGCACGATCTCAGCTCACTGCAGCCTCTGCCTCCTGGTTCAAGCGATTCTCCTGCCTTATTCTCAGTTATTCTGCCTCCCAAGTAGCTGGGATTACAGGCACCCACCACCACACCCAGCTAATTTTTTTTTTTTTTTTTTTTTGTATTTTTAGTATTGACGGTTTCGCCATGTTGGCCAGGCTGGTCTTGAATTCCTGGGCTCAAGTGAACCGTCTACCTCAGCCTCCCAAAGTGCTGGGATTACAGGCGTGAGCCACGGCACCCAGCCCAGGATGTTGTTAAATGCATTTTTACTTTTGAAAAAAAAAAAGAAGTTGGACCACAGAGGTAGAATGACTTTCAAGGCACAAGCACATGGGCCAGGAGGCTCCCGGGGCCTGTCTGGGAGAGAGCTAAGCGAGCAGCCGAGCTTTGGAGAGTAGCAGGGAGCTGTGCTCCCTTGCCTGGACGACGTGAATGACAGACTTGGACTCTGGGGCCCAGCGCATGAGCCCTGTGGGGCTGGCGCCAGTACCCACCTGCAGCAATAACCAACACTGTGCTTTGGAGCCAGCTCCCCAGTCCAGGCCAGACTTGCACTTCTGCTGAACGAAGATTCAACTGTGCGTCCTCCTTGCAGTCTCCTGGAACCAGCAGGAGGAAACATGGGGGAGACCGGCCTGAGAAAGCGGAGAGAGGATGAGAAGTCGATCCAGAGCCAAGAGCCCAAGACCACCAGTCTCCAAAAGGAGGTGAGGTGGTCTCTGGTGGGGCGGGCCCTTTGCAGGTTAGGCAAGGGCATCTGAACAGGGGGTGGGGGGGGCACAGGCAGTGAAGTCCCTGCTGATTTCTAGTGACAGGGCAGGAGAGGTGCTCTTTAATTTGAGGGGACAATCTCTGGACTTACCTCTTTCCCTCTTCCAAGGGAACTCTGCATGTTCTTTCCCCACCCCCCGAGATGGAGTCTTGCTCTGTCAACAAGGCTGGAGTGCAGTGGTGCGATCTCAGCTCACTACAACTTCCACCTCCCGGGTTTAAGCGATCCTCCTGCCCCAGCCTCCTGAGTAGCTGGGACTACAGAGGCACTGCCAAATTTTTAACTTTCAGAAATTTTTTTCTGTGGAGGTAGGCTCTTGCTATGTTGCTGGTCTGGTTCCAGGCTGGTCTGGAACTCTCGGGCTCAAGTGACCCTCCTACCTTGGGCTCCCAAAGTGCTAAGATTACAGGTGTGAGTCACTCTGCCCAGCCAGAGAGGGCGTTCTGATGGTTGGGTCCCCTCGAAATACCTGTCCCTCTTATGTCTCAGTGGCTGTAGTGATGGGAAGTATTGCCCCCAGCAGAGCCCGTTCTGTGTTACAGGCATCTAGCAGGGATAGCCGCCCTGAGGGGCTGCAGTGAGCAGCTGGGGCTGGCCCTGGGCCTGGAGGGAAAGGGAACCTTGGGGCTGGGGTGAAGGCAGAAGGGAGCTGGACACAGGGACCACGCCAGGCCCAGGCAGTTGGGAGCAGCAGGTACTCAGCGTGGAGACGCAGGAGGGCTTCAGGCTCCCAGGATGAGAAAGACAGCAGCGGATGAGCTCAGGACAGCTTCTGCTTCCAGAGCAGGGGTCTGGGTGGGGCCTCTGAGAGCTCCTGTGCCTGGCAGCAGAAGGGATGGAGGAGGGACAGCACCAAGGTTTTAGGGCTTGACTGGGGGCTGGCATGGCCTAAATGGCTTGGCCTGGGGCTGGGGTCCCCAGGAGGTAGACGATGGGCTGCAGCCCCCTGCCTCTCTGCCAGTCTTAGGCTAGATCCCAGCAAGAGCCTAAACACAGCTGAGAAATCCCCAGATGTGTCTTCTGAGCTGGGACCAGGTGTGGCTGCACACGCCTGTAACCTTAGCACTTTAGGGAGCCTGAGGTGGGAGGATTGCTTGATCCCAGGAGATTAGCCTGCAGTGACTCATGATCGTGCCACTGCACTTTAAGTCTGGGCGACAGAGCGAGACCTTAGTCTAAAAACAGAAAACTGAGCTAGGTCTACCTCTCAGGCAGGCAACTTCAGGTGAATGCAGACGTCACCCAGATCAGAACCCAGGCAGTCCCTCAGCAGAAGGCAGGGGAGGGTTCCGGAGCCAAAACAAAGCCCTGGGCAGGGCTAAGACGAGGAGGAGGGCTGAGACCGTCCCTCCCTGCCCTGGAAGTGCACCTTGTCCCTGAAAGCTCATGCTGCGCCCCAGGGATCCTGCTTGTGTGTGCAGCGTCCACAGGGTGGCAGCCTGCAGCTGGGAGCCCCTCATCCCCTGCGATCTGACTCCAAGCCCAGCCTCTTCCCAGGTGAACACAGGTGCTGGAAACTTCAGGCTCTGGAGATCTGGCTGGGGCCGCTTCTGAAGGCAGGTGTTATGAGTAGGGCCTCAGTTCGGATTTTTTTTTCCTCGTTGTTGATTGGTGTGTAATTTATATACAGTAAAATGTGCAGTGCTGTTTGAGACAGTCTCATTCTGTCACTCAGGTGTAGTGAGTGGCTCACTGCAACCTCCGCCTCCCAGGTTCAAGTGATTCTCCTGCCTCAGCCCCCTAAGTAGCTGAGATTACAGGTGTGCGCCAACATGTCTGGCTGATTTTTGTATTTTTCAGTAGAAATGGGGTTTTACCGTGTTGGCCAAGCTGGTCTCAAACTCCGAACCTCAGGTAAAGCGCCTGCCTCAGCTTCCCAAAGTGCTGGGATTACAGGCGTGAGCCACCGCCCCTGGCTGAAATGTGCGGTTCTTTAGTGCCGAGTTTGATGGGTTTTGATAGATGTGCCACCCCAGAAAGCCCCCTCCTGCCCCTCTCTAGGCAGGGACCCAGCCCTGAATTCATAGGGCTTTCGATTAGAGTCAACCTGTTCTTGAACTTCACAGGAATGGAATCACCTGATGTCTTTCTGAGCTCGGTTCTGTTCTGAGAAAGCTCACATCCTAGCAAGTGGCACAGGGCCAGGCGCAGTGACTCACGCCTGCAGTCCCAGCACTTTGGGAGGCCGAGCTGGATTGTTTGAGGCCAGCACTTTGAGGCTGCCGTGAACTATGATTGCACAGCTGGGCTCCAGCCTGGGCGACAGAGAGAGACCGTGACTCTAAGTAAACAAACAAAAATAAGATAAAATGGCACCACAGAAAGTTCACAGTCCCCATGACTTTTCTGTTTCTGGGAGGCCTTTTTTGCCCCTCTGCACGGCACCTCTGGCCAGGATTCCAGGCCCTGACTTCCTCTGTTTTGGTGGCACACTCCTTTCTCATTTGCCCAGAGCAGAGGCGTTTCCTGAGGACCTTTCTCATTGGCGAGCTGTTGCCAAGTCGGCCTTTCCATTGAGGACACAGGATCATGGGTAGGGGCGGAACATGAGTCGGTTCTAGCAGCCTCCTAACCTTTCTGTGCCCCAGTGTCCTCCTCTGCACTGTGGGGGTGGTACAGCATGGCCAGCTCCCGGGACTGTCACGAGAATTATTCGAGTTAATGTGAGCGAAGCCCGGGGAGCGGTGTCCTGATGTTGCCACAGCAGCCGCCCAGGCTGGGAGCGCCTGGAGCATGAGCTTTGGCTGGGCCTGCCCTGGCCCTTCGGAGGGGGGTGGTGCCTGGACTTCTGGGCTAGGCCTGGGCGTGGCACTAACACCCTCTCCCTTCCTCTACACCCAGCTGGGCCTCATCAGTGGCATCTCCATCATCGTGGGCACCATCATCGGCTCCGGGATCTTCATCTCCCCTAAGTCTGTGCTCAGCAACACAGAAGCCGTGGGGCCCTGCCTCATCATATGGGCGGCTTGCGGGGTCCTCTCGACGCTGGGTAAAGAGACGTGGCTCCCTGGTGGGGCACACTAGGCAGGCGCTATCTGTGCCAGCCCTCACCCTGCCGGGGTCCCTCTCGGCCCTTGTGTGGCAAACAGATGTAAATCAGGCTGGTCTGAATGTCCAGCAGCTGGAGCTCAGGGCCGTCTGGCAAGGGCACACCATGGTGGCCCTCCATATGAACGCAGTCCCCCGGGGGAACACAGCCCCTGGGGTAGGGGCAGTGCCTCACGAGCGGCCTGTGGGCCCTTCCTCTCTGCGTTCCAGGTGCCCTGTGCTATGCAGAGCTTGGCACGATGATCACCAAGTCTGGGGGTGAGTACCCCTACCTGATGGAGGCCTACGGGCCCATCCCCGCCTACCTCTTCTCCTGGGCCAGCCTTTTCGTGATGAAGCCCTCGTCCTTCGCCATTATCTGCCTCAGCTTCTCCGAGTACGTGTGCTCACCCTTCTACCCAGGCTGCAAGCCTCCTGAAATTGTTGTGAAATGCCTGGCTGCCGCCGCCATCTGTGAGTACCCGAGCCCAGGATGGGGGTCAGAAAAGACCTGGTTGTCCGGGGACTCTGCCCTCAGCTCCCCACTAGTGAGCTGGAGTCTTTGGTGCGAGGCCAGGCATGGCCTGGCATCAGCCTTTGCTATACCTGTGGGTGCTGCACACTGGGGACCCCCATGCCCGTGGGGGCTACAGAGAGGGAGGCTGCAAGCTGTCCTGAAGGGCAGAGCCTTGGCTCGGGGCCCGGCTCCTTTTCCGGCATGGTGGCAGGTGCCTGTAATCCTAGCTACTGGGGAGGCTGCCTACCATGCCCTGATAATTTTTTGCCGGCTGAGGCAGCCCGGCTGGATTGCAAAGGTCATCTCCAGGTGCATTTTAAAGGTCCTTAAGCTCCCATAGTGGGATCTTCCCTCTTGGGATTTGGGAGATAGATGTGGTGGCTGGCAGGGGAGCAGAGGTGGGCCGCAGGCAGTGCCTGATACTTGGAATCTCACCACTTTGGGAGGCTGAGGTGGGAGGACTGCTTGAGGCCAAGAGTTTGAGACCAGCCTGGTCAACCTAGTGAAACCCTTGCCTCTACAAAAAAATAGAAACATTAGCTGGGTGTGGTGGCATGCGCCGGTGTTCCAGCTACTGGGGAGGCTGTGGCAGGGGATCGCTTGAGCCTTGGACCCTGTCTCAAAATATAAACGAGGTTGGGCACGGTGGCCCACGCATGTAATCCCAACACTTCGGGAGGCCAAGGTGGGCACATTACTTAAGGTCAGGAGTTCAAGACCAGCCTGGCCGACATGGCAAAACCCGGTTTCTACTAAAAATACAAAAATTAGCCAGGTGGGGTGGCACGTGCCTGTATTCCCAGCTACTCAGGAGACTGAGGCAGGAGAACTGGTTGATACCTAGGAGGTAGAGGTTGCAGTGAGCAGAGACCGTGCCGTTGCACTCCAGCCTGGATGACAGTGAGAGTCCATCTCTAAATAAATAAACATAAAATTACAAAAGTTGGATGTGAGGGCGATATGGCAGGGACACCTGTCACCCCATTGATTGCCAGGGTTGATTCGGCTGATCTGGCTGGCTAGGCCAGTGTCCCCTTCCTCCCTCACCACTCCACGTGTGTCCCTCCTGAAGCCGCATGCCCAGTCGAAGAGGACAAGCATCCCCGACAGAGGAGGGCTGGCTTTTGGTCAAGGGTATACGAGTAGCTACGCCTCCCTGCTGGAAGCTCCAGACAAGCTCTACTAAAAATACAAAAATCAGCTGGTCATGGTGGCGTGCACCTGTCATAATAGCTACTCAGGTGGCTGAGGCAGGAGAATCACTTGAACCTGGGAGGCAGCGATCACTGAGATCGTGCCACTGCTCTCCAGCCCGGGTGACAGAGTGAGACTCTATCTAAAAAAAAAAAAAAAAAAGTAAAAAAAGTTACAAAGTATAAAGGAGACTCTCTCCAGGGCTTTGTTGAAAACCATAAATGCAGAAACTGCCTCCACCCTTCCAGTATTCATCGCGACGGTGAACTCACTGAGCGTGCGGCTGGGAAGCTATGTCCAGAACATCTTCACCACGGCCAAGCTGGTGATCGTGGCCATCATCATCATCACGGGGCTCGTGCTCCTGGCCCAAGGTGACCCACGGGAGGGCGGGCCCTGCACAGGCACACACCCAGAACCCCTTCCACTGGGAGCAGGACCAGCCTTGCCCCACAAACCCATCTCCAACGAATCGTGGCAGGAACTCAGTGGGAGGGATCCTTAGTTTCAGAGTGTTTAATAAGCTGCGGTGGTCATCATGCCCATCTTCACGTGGAGGTGCACTCAAGATCTGGCTGGCTGATACCTGCCGTTCACTGTCTGGCTTCATTACAGGAAACACAAAGAATTTTGAGAATTCTTTCGAGGGCACCCAGCTGTCTGTGGGAGCCATCAGTCTGGCGTTTTACAATGGACTCTGGGCCTACGATGGATGGTGAGGCGTCCTGGGATGTCCCGAGTCTGGGGGTGGGTGGGATTCTCCAGGCGACTTTAACTCCAGCCATCATGGAAAGCAATGAGTTCCCTTTTCTGGCGTTTGGTGTGACTCTGACATTCACCCTCACATTTCCTTTTTTGTGAAGCATGCGACAATCTCTAGCCTTTATTCCCGGAGACACCTTCTCAGTCAGCCAGAGTGCTCTGTGTAGAACCCTCACCGGGCCAACACAAGCTCAGCTGAATTAGAGGCAGCCAGGGCCCAAGCTTGGGTTTTCTGTTGTGTTTTGTTTTGAGACCGAGTCTCACTCTGTTCCGCAGGCTGGAGTGCAGTGGCACAGTCTTGGCTCACTGCATCCTCCACCTCTGCTTCAGCCTCCCAAGTAGCTGGGATTACAGGCGCCTGCCAACATGCCCAGCTAATTTTTGTATTATTAGTAGAGACAGGGTTTCACCATATTGGCCCAGCTGGCCTCGAACTCCTGACCTCATGATCCACCTGCCTCAGCATCCCAAAGTGCTGGGATTACAGGTGTGAGCCACCATGCCCAGCTGTTTTTTTGTTTTTGTTTTAGAGACAGGCTCTCACTTGGTCACCCAGGCTGCGGTGAAATGGCATGATCACAGCTCACTGCAGCCTTGAACTCCTGGGCTGAAGCCAGCTTCCCACCTTGGCCTCCTGAGTAGCTGGGACCACAGATAGGAGCTACCACACCCTGATGATTTTTTTATTTTTGAGCTGGTCTCAAACTCGTGCACTCAAGCAATCCTCTCTCCTCGGCCACCCAAAGTGCTGGGATTACAGGCATCAGCCACCACTCCCAGCCCCAGGCTCTTGATTAAACAAAGAATACTCAATAGCACTTCTGTTTAACCCTGAAAATCATTAGGTTTGGGAGCCTCTCGGAACTTATGGTTTGGGGGGCTGTCCTACAAACAAAATACCATACAAATTTTGTACATTTATTGGGTTTAGTGGGTGAGATTGTTTTTATCCTTTTTAGAGATGGAGTCTCACTGTCACCCAGGCTGGAACACAGTGGCACGATCTTGGCCCACTGCAACCTCCATCCCCCCAGGTTCAAGTAATTCTCCTGACTCAGCCTCCTGAGTAACTGGGAGTACAGACACCTGCCACCTTGCACTGCTAATTTTTGTATTTTTTGTAGAGATGAGGTATCACCATGTTGGCCCGGCTGGTCTCGAACTCCCAACTTCAAGTGATCTGCCCGCCTTGGCCTCCCAAAGTGCTGGCCCGTTTTTGTCCTTTAAGGGAGAAGCATGACAGTCTGTGACACTGGTCCTTCTCTCCTGCAAAGCATTTCTACGTTTCATTCTCTTCTCAGAGAATATTCCATTTTTTCAAGGCACCTTGGGGACTCACTACTCCTGATTATTCTTCCAAATCTGTGTGATTCCCAAGGAGGGCAAAGACCACCAGCTGACAGATGTGTTGCTCTGGGTAGGGCCCCAGGCCCCCCCACTACCAGGGCCATTAACCTCTAAAGAAATTCACCTGGAATTCCTGCAGGAGCGTTTTCTCTCTGACAGAGAATCTTAAATGAGGCCAACATTTATTATTGTGGGTTCATAATAGAAAAATAAAGTCAAGCTGTGTCATGCTTGTTTCTTTCTTCCAGGAATCAACTGAATTACATCACAGAAGAACTGCAAAACCCTTACAGGTAACAGTTGAGTCAGCGCAGGGGACGGGGCCGGGCAGGCTGATTTCCCTTGGTGAAGGCTGGAGCTGTTTCCCTGGTTATTCCATGATACCCTTCCCAACAGTGAATGATTTCTTTTTTCTTTTTTTTTTTTGAGATGGAGTCTTGCTCTGTTGCCTAGGCTGGAGTGCAGTGGTGCAATCTGAGCTCACTAATTTTTATATTTTATTTTTTTTAGTAGAGATGGGATTTTTGCCATGCTGGCCAGGCTGGTCCTAAACTCCTGGCCTCAGGAGATTTCTCGTCTCGGACCCTCAGGTGTGAGCCACTGCGCCCAGCCATCGATTGGTTTCTCATGTGCTCACTATGCACGCTTAGTTTGGTTTGGTTTGGTTTGGTTTGGGGCAGAGCAGTGGCTGCTAGGGGGAGGAAGAGTTTGGTCTTCCTTTATCTCTGGCTTTTTTTGCTTTATAAACAGTTCCATGTGAACTGCTCTGGAGTCAGAGGCAGGATTCTCATTTGAAAATGTCTCATGTTGCTGCTGGGGTGCTGCTGCCTGCGAATCTTCTCCCTAGGAGGGCCTCAGGGAGGGTGTCTGTCTCCCACGGGAGGCTCCGGTCTGACCATGGGTCTCTGTGTCATTGCACTTCCCAGAAACCTGCCCTTGGCCATTGTCATCGGGATCCCCCTGGTGATGGCATGCTACATCCTCATGAACGTGTCCTACTTCACCGTGATGACCACCACCGAGCTCCTGCAGTCCCCGGCCGTGGCTGTGGTGAGTGCCTCGGTGTCGCTGCTGGAGGGGCCGTGGCTTATGGGAAGGGGTAAGGCAGGTGTCAGCACTGGAGCTGGGGTCCCTCCCAGCGAAGGAGGACAATAGTCATGGAAGAGCCTGGGAGACCAGACAAGTCAGGGCAGCCCCCGAGCCCCGCACGAGGTCAGGCATCAACAGAGATGGGACCAGCTGCCTGGGTGCACACAGCATGGAGCTGGAGGCAGGGTTGGGCTAGCCAGGGTTACAGTTTGACAGATAAGCATGAAGCAGAGGCAGAAAGTGCCAGGGAGTCAGGGCAGGTCATTATATTAGGTTGGTGGAAAAGTAATTGCCATTTTTGCCATTCCTTTCAACGGCAAAACGGCAATTACTTTTGTACCACCCTAAATACTAATGAATCATAGAAGCTGAGAGGTGAAAGGCCCTAGGGTCAGTGCAGCTGGAGACCTCCTGCAGTTGCCAACAGACAACCAAGTGCTGGGGATTTGGAAGGTGCTGGAGACAGTGTGGATAACTGCTGAGGTCACTGACCACGAGACTGGGGCTGCTCAGGTAGGAGGGAGAATTCAGCCATTTCGGTTGGCGTGCAGGTTCAGGGAAGTGCGGGGTGAAGGTATCAGGATATTGACATGACCAAGAATTATGCAGCTAGGTGTGGTGGCAAGTGCCCGTGGTCCCAGCTACTTGGAACACTGAGGTGGGAGGATCGCCTGAGCCCAGGAGGCTGACTGCCTTGAGACATGATCACAGCACTGTACTCCAACCTGGGCAGCAGAGTGCAATCCTGTCTCAAAAAAACCATCAAATTAAAAAATAAAGATTTGGCTGGGCATAGTGGCTCACACCTGTAATCCCAGCACTTTGGGAGGCCAAGGCAAGCGGATCACAAGGTCAGGAGTTCGAGTCCAGCCTGGCTAACATGATGAAACCCGCCTCTATTGAAAATAGAAAAATTAGCCAGGCATGGTGGCGGGTGCCTGTAATCCAAGCTACTCGGCAGGCTGAGGCAGGAGAATCGCTTGAACCTGGGAGGCAGGGGTTGCAGTGAGCAGAGACCTCACCATTGCCCTCCAGCCTGGGAAACAAGAACAAAAGTCCATCTCAAAATAAATACATAAAATAAAATAAAGATTTATCCCAGGGAGTAGTGGATAAGAGATTTCTCTTGCCGTCACAAGATCTGGAGACAGGCGAGTGGCGTTCTCCCCTCTCCTCTGCAGTGGAGGAGTCAGAGGCTATGCCCCGAGCTGAGGTGGGTCCCTGGGTCCCCTGGGAGGCCAGAATAGCTTTTGGGGGCCGGTGGCTCTTGGAGGCCAAGAAAGACCGTCAGGACTCATGTCGTTTCTCTCACCAGACATTTGGTGACCGTGTTCTCTATCCAGCTTCTTGGGTCGTTCCACTTTTTGTGGCATTTTCAACCATCGGTGCTGCTAATGGGACCTGCTTAACATCGAGCAGGTAGGGGACTCTCGGCTGTCACTCCCAGGGTGGGCAGGGGCAGCCAAGCCAATGTCACACCCAAGGAATACACACCGCTAAAATCTTCAGGGCTCTGCCAGGTGAATGAGCAAATCAAGCTAATTAACATATGCATCGCCTCACATACTTATCATTTCTTTGTGGTGAGTACATTGGAAATCCACTAGCCATTTTGAAATGTACACCATTGTTAACGATAGTCACCTTGCTGTGCAATGGATCACCAGAGCTTATTCCTCCCTTCAAACAGAAACTGTAGCCGCTGACCAACATTTCCCCTTTTGCCATCTCAGGCCCCGCTTCCTTCAGCCTCTGGTAACCAATGTTCTACTCTCTATTGCTATGTTTGAAATTTTAGATTTCGCGTATGTCGCAGGTGATTACAAGTATCTGGGCTCGCGGCATAGAGATAAGAATTTACCAATACAGTTGTTGGTCAAGAAAGGCAGATTGGCCAGGTGCAGTGGCTCATGCCTGTAATCCCAGCACTTTGGGAGGCAGAGGCGGGCGAATCACCTGAGGTCGGGGGTTCGACGCCAGCCTGACAGACACAGAGAAAGCTTGTCGCTACTAAAAATACAAAATTAGCCAGGAGTGGTGGCACATGCCTGTAATCCCAGCTACCTGGGAAGCTGAGACAGGAGAATCGCTGGAACCCGGGAGGCAGAGGTTGCAGTGATCCAAGATCGTGCCAGTGCACTCCAGCCTGGGCAACAAGAGCAAAACTCCATCTCAAAAAAAGAAAAGAAAAAAAGGCAGATTTATTAGAGAAAGCAAAATACATCGTAAGGGTGCAATGGGCGGGCAGGTCAGTGAGAGAGGAGCCGACTGCAAAGAGACAAAGGCTTGCTGGGATTTTATAGGCTGGTGCTTGTGCTGTGTGCGGAGAGGGGTACGTGAAGTACTGATAATGTGAAGGTTGCAGTGAGCTAACCGGCATTTTTCTATTAGCTGAGGGAGGGTCTGGCAATCACTGGGTGCGGGAAGACTGTGTCCTGGACCAGGAAGAAAGGCAGGCGTGTAGCTTATCTGCTTCATTTCTTTTTGCTTTCCCTTGGTCCCGCCAGCCTGACTCGTTTTCCCTAATTACAGCTCCACAACATTTAAGGGAATACCATGGGATATTTGTCTGTCTTTGTCTGGCTTATTTCACTTGGCACAATGTTCTCTCGAGTCATCCCTGTTGTCAAAAAATGACAGAATTCCATTCTGTTTAGAGGCCGAATCGTATTCCATTGTATATGTAACATTTTTATTCATTCATCTGTTGACAGACACTGAGGTTGTGTCTGTGTCTCGGCTATGGTGAATAACGGAATGAACATGGGAGTGCAGACATCTGACATGCGGATTTCTTTAAAGTATACTTTAAGTTCTGGGGCACATGTGCAGAATGTGCAGGTGTGTTACATAGGTACACACGTGCCCTGGTGGTTTGCTGCATCCATCACCCTGTCATCTACATTAGGTATTTCTCCCAATGTTATCCCTCCCCTCTCCCCCAAGCCCCACTATCCCTCCCCTAATACCCCACTCCCCAACCGGCCCTGGTGTGTGATGTTCCTTCTCTGTGTCTATATGTTCTCATTGTTCTACACCCACTTAAGAGTGAGAACATGCGGTGTTTGGTTTTCTGTTCTTGTGTCAGTTTGCTGAGAATGATGGTTTCCAGCTTCATCCATGTCCCTGCAAAGGACATGAACTCATCCTTTTTTATGGCTGCATAGTATTCCACGGTGTATATGTGCCATGTTTTCTTTATCCAGTCTATCATTGATGGGCATTTGGGTTGGTTCCAAGTCTTTGCTATTGTGACCAGTGCTGCAATGAACATACATCTGCATGTGTCTTTATACTAGAATGATTTGTAATCCTTTGGATACATACCCAGTAGTGGGTTTGCTGAGTCAAATGGAATTTTGATTTCTAGACACTTGAGGAATCGCCACACTGTCATCCACAATGGTTGAACTAATTTACACTCCCACCAACAGTGGAAAAGTGTTCCTATTTCTCCACATCCTCTCCAGCATCTGTTGTCTCCTGATTTTTTAATGATTGCCATTCTAACTGGCGTGAGATAGTATCTCAATGTGGTTTTGATTTGCATTTCTCTAATGACCATGAGGATGAGCTTTTTTTCATATGTTTGTTGGCTACATAAATGGCTTCTTCTTCTTCTTTTTTTTTTTTTTTTTTAAGATGAGGTTTCACCATGATGGTCAGGCTGGTCTTGAACTCCTGACCTCAGGTGATCCACCCACCTCGGCCTCCCAAAGTGCTAGGATTACAGGCGTGAGCCCAGCATAAATGTCTTCTTTTGAGGAGTGTCTGTTCATATCCTTTGCCCACTTTTTGATGGAGTTGTTTTTTTCTTGTAAATTTGTTTAAATTCTTTGTAGACTCTGGATATTAGCCCTTTGTCAGATGGGTACATTGCAAACATTTTTCCCATTCTGTTGGTTGCTGGTTCACTCTAATGATTGTTTCTTTTGCTGTGCAGAAGCTCTGGAGTTTAATTAGATCCCATTGGTTTATTTTGGCTTTTGTTGCCATTGCTTTTGGTGTTCTAGTCATGTAGTCCTTGCCTTTGCCTATGTCCTGACTGGTATTGCCTAGATTTTCTTCTGGGGTTTTTATGGTGTTAGGTCTTATGTTTTAAAATCCATCCGGAGTTAATTTTTGCATAAGGTGTAAGGAAGGGATCCAGTTTCAGCTTTCTGCACATGGCTAGCCAGTTTTCCCAACACCATTTATTAAGTAGGGAATCCTTTCTCCATTGCTTGTTTGTGTTAGGTTTGTCAAAGATCAGATGGTTGTAGATGTGTGGCGTCTCTGAGGCCTCTGTTCTGGTTCATTGGTCTGTATGTCTGTTTTGGTACCAGTCTCATGCTGTTTTGATTACTGTAGCCTTGCAGTATATTTTGAAGTCAGGTAGCTTGATGCCTCCAGCAGTTTTTGTTGTTTTGCTTAGGATTGTCTTGGCTCTGCAGGCTCCTTTTTGGTTCCCTATAAAGTTTAAGGTAGTTTTTTCCAATTCTGTGAAGAAAGTCAGTGGTAGCTTGATGGAGATAGCATTGAATCTATAAATTACTTTGGTCAGTATAGCCATTTTCATGATATTGATTCTTCCTAACCATGAGGATGGAAGGTTTTCCATCTGTTTGTGTCCTCTCTTATTTCGTTGAGCAGTGGTTTGTAGTTCTCCTTGAGGAGGTCCTTCACATCCCTTGTTAGTTGTATTCCTAGGTATTTTATTCTCTTTGTAGCAATTGTGAATGGGAGTTCATTTATGATTTGGCTCTCTGTCTGTTATTGGTGTATAGGAATGCTTGTGATTTTTGCACATTGATTTTGTAGCTTGAGATTTTGCTGAAGTTGCTTATCAGCGTAAGGAGATTTGGGGCTGAGACAACGTGGTCTTCTAAATACACAATCATATCGTCTGCAAATAGAGACAGTTTGACTTCCTCTTTTCCTAATTGATTACACTTTATTTCTTTTTCTTGCCTGATTGCTCTGGCCAGAACTTCCAATACTATGTTGAATAGGAGTGGTGAGAGAGGGCATCCTTGTCTAGTGCCAGATTTCAAAGGGAATGTTTGCATTTTTGCCCATTTAGTATGATAATGGCTGTGTGTTTGTCATAAATAGCTCTTATTATTTTGAGATATGTTCCACTGATACCTAGTTTATTGTGAGTTTTTAGCATAAAGGGCTGTTGGATTTTGTTGAAGGCCTTCTCTGCATCTATTGAGATAATCATGCGGATTTTGTCTTTGGTTCTGTTTGTGACGGATTACATTTATAGATTTGCATATGTGGAACCAGCCTTGCATCCAGGGATGAAGCCAACTTGATCATGTTATATAAGCTTTTAGCTGTGCTGTTGGATTCAGCTTGCCAGTACTTTATTGAGGATTTTCGCATCAATGTTCATCATGGATATTGGCCTGCAGTTTTCTTTTTCAGTTGTGTCTCTGCCCCAGGATAATCTTGGTCTCATAAAATGAGTTAGAGGGGATTCCCTCTTTTTGTATTGTTTGGAATAGTTTCAGAAGAAATGGTACCAGCTCCTCTTTGTACCTCTGGTAGAATTCAGCTGTGAACCCGCCTGGTCCAGGGCTTATTTTGGTTGGAAGGCTATTAATTGCTGTCTCAACTTCAGCCCTTGTTATTGGTCTATTTAGGTATTCAACTTCTTCCTGGTTTAGGCTTGGGAGGATGTAATTGTCCAGGAATTCATCCGTTTCTTCTAGATTTACTGATTTATTTGCATGCAGGTGTTTGTAGTAATCTGATGGTAGTTTGTATTTCTGTGGGATTGGTGGAGATACCCCCTTTACCATTTTTTATTCCATCTATTCAGTTCTTCTCTCTTTTCTTCTTTATTAGTCTGGCTAGTGGTCTATGTATTTAGTTGATCTTTTTTAAAAAAAAAACAGCTCCTGAATTTATTGATTTTTTTTTGAAGGGTTTTCTGTGTCTCTATCTCCTTCAGTTCTGCTCTGATCTTAGTTACTTCTTGCTAGCTCTGAATTTGTTTGATCTTGCGTCTCTAGTTCTTTTAATCATGACATTAGTGTGTTGATTTTAGATCTTTCCTCCTTTCTTCTGTGGGCATTTAGTGCTATAAATTTCCTCTGGAAAATGCTTTAAATGTGTCCCAGAGATTCTGGTACATTGTGTCTTTGTTCTCCTGGTTTCAAAGAACATCTTTATTTCTGCCTTCATTTCATTATTTATCCAGTAGTCATTCAGGAGCAGGTTGTTCAGTTTCCATGTAGTTGTGCAGTTTTGAGTGAGTTTCTTCCTGAGTTCTAATGTGATTACACTGTGGTCTGAGAGACTATTTGTTATGATTTTTGTTCTTTTGCATTTGCTGAGGAGCAATTTACTTCCAGTTATGTGGTCAATTTTAGAATAACTGCAATGTGGTGCTGAGAAGAATGTATATTCTGTGGATTTAGGGTGCAGAGTTCTGTAGATGTCTATTATGTTCACTTGGTCCAGATCTGAATTCACGTCCTGGATATCCTTATTAATTTTCTGTCTTGTTGATCTAATATTGACAGTGGGGTGTTAAAGTATCCCATTATTATTGTGTGGGAGTCTCTCTTTGTAGGTCATTAGGAGTTGTTTTATGAATCTGGGTGCTCCTGTATCGGGTGCATATATGTTTTGAAGCTCCTCTTGTTGCACTGATCCCTTTACCATTATGTAATGCCCTTCTTTGTCTCTTTTGATCTTTGTTGGTTTAAAGTCTGTTTTATCAGAGACTAGGATTACAACCCCTGCTTTTTTTTGCTCTCCATTTGCTAGGTAAATCTTCTTCAACACCTTTATTTTGAACCTATGTGTGTCTTTGCACGAGATATGTCTCCTAAACATAGCACACCGATGGGTCTTGACTCTATCCAATTTGCCAGTCTGTGTCTTTTGGTTGGGAGATTTAGCCCATTTACATTTAAGGTTAATATTGTTATGTGTGAATTGGATCCTGCCATTTTGATGCTAGCTGGTTGTTTTGCCTGATAGTTGATGCAGTTTCTTCATAGTGCCAATGGTCTTTACCATTTGGTATGTTTTTGGAGTGGCTGGTACTGGTTGTTCCTTTCGATGTTTAGTGCTTCCTTCAGGAGCTCTTATAAGGCAGGCCTGGTGGTGGTGAAATCTCTCAGCAGTTGCTTCTCCGTAAAGGATTTTATTTCTCCTTCAGTTATGAAGCTTAGTTTGGTTGGATGTGAAATTCTGGGTTGAAAGTTCTTTTATTTAAGGATGTTGAATATTGGTCCCCACTCTCTTCTGGCTTCTAGGGTTTCTGCCAAGAGATCCACTGTGAGTCTGATGGGCTTCCCTTTGTGGGTAACCCGACCTTTCTTGCTGGCTGCCCTTAGCATTTTTTTTCCTTCATTTCAACCCTGGTGAATCTGACGATTATGTGCCTTGGGGTTGTTCTTCTCGAGGAATATCTTTGTGGTGTTCTCTGTATTTCCTGAATTTGAATGTTGGCCTGCCTTGCTAGGTTGGGGAAGTTCTCCTGGATTATATCCTGAAGAGTGTTTTCCACCTTGGATTCATTCTCCCTGTCACTTTTAGGTACACCGATCAAACATAGATTAGGTCTTTTCACATAATCCCATATTTCTTGGAAGCTTTGTTTATTTCTTTTCACTCTGTTTTCTCTAATCTTGCCTTCTTGGTTTATTTCATTGAGTTGATCTTCAATCTCTGATATTCTTTCTTCCCCTTGATTGATTTGGCTATTGAAACTTGTATATGCTTCATGAAGTTCTTGTGCTGTGTTTTTCAGCTCCTCAAGTCGTTTATGTTCTTCTCTACACTGGTTATTCTAGTTAGCATTTCATCTAACCTTTTATCAAGGTTCTTAGCTTCCTTGCATTGGGTTAGAACATGCTCCTTTAGCTTGAAGAAATTTGTTATCAGCCACCTTTTGAAGCCTGCATCTGTCAGTTTGTCAAACTCATTCTCCATCCAGTTTTGTTCCCTTGCTGATGAGTTGTGATCCCTTGGAGGAGAAGAGGCATTCTGGTTTTTGGAGATTTCAGCCTTTTTGCGCTGGTTTCTTCCCATCTTCATAAATTTATCTACCTCTGGTCTTTGAAGTTCGTGACTTTTGGATGTGGTCTCTAAGTGGATGTCCTTTCTGTTGATGTTCAAACTATTTCTGTTTGTTAGTTTTCCTTCTAACAGTTAGGTCCCTCTGCTGCAAGTCTGCTGGAGTTTGCTGGAGGTCTACTCTAGACCCTGCTTGTCTGGGAATCACCCACGGGGGGCTGTAGAACAGCAAAGATTGCTGCCTCTTCCTTCCTCTGGTAGCTTCATCCCAGAAGGGTACCCGCCAGATGTCAGCCAGAGTTCTCCTGTCTGAGGTGTCTCCCAGTCAGGATACACGGGGTCAGGGAGCCACTTGAGGAGGCAGTCTATCCCTTATTGGAGCTTGAGTGCTGTTCTGGGAGATCCGTTGCTCCCTTCAGAGATCAGTTTGAAATGCAGAGATCACTTGCCTTCTGCATCGCTCTCGCTGGAAACTGTGGACTGGAGCGGTTCCTATTCAGTCATCTTGGCGGAGATCCTCTGACATGTAGATTTCAATTCATTCAAATATATACCCAGAGGTACATGGGAGTGCAGATATTTGACATACGGATTTCAGTTCATTCAAATATATACCCAAGGCTGGGTGCAGTGGCTCACACCTGTAATCCCAGCACTTTGGGAGGCCGAGGCGGGCAGATCACTTGAGGTCAGGAGTTCAAGGCCAACATGGTGAAACCCTATCTCTACTAAAAATACAAAAATTAGTGGGGCATGGTGGCAGATGCCTGTAATCCTAGCTACTCAGGAGGCTGAGGCAGGAGAATCACTTGAACCTGGGAGGCAGAGTTTGTAGCAAGCTGAGATCACACCAGTGCACTCCAGCAGTGACACAATCATGGCTCACTGCAGCCTCACACTCCTATGCATAAGTGATCCTCCCACTGCCTCTCAAGTAGCTGGGACTACAGGGCCTGTGCCACCATGCATGGCTAATATTAAGTTGTTTTGTAGATGTGAGGTCGTACTGTGTTACCCAAGCTGGTCTCAAACTCCTGGCCTCAAGCAGCCCTCTCACTTCAACCTCCCACAGTGTTGGGATTACAGGCATGAGCTACAGTGGCTGGCCTGATATCAATTTATTATATTTTATCTTATTTATCTTTCTGAGACAGAGTCTTGCTCTGTCAATTAGGCTAGAGTACAGTGGCGCAATCTCGGCTCACTGCAACTTACACTTCCAGGTGAAAGTGATTCTCCTGCCTCAGCCTCCCAAGTAGCTGGGATTACAGGTGCCCGCCACCACACCCGACTAATTTTTGTATTTTTAGTAGAGACAGGGTTTCACTGTGTTGGTCAGGCTGGTCTTGAACTCCTGACCTCAAGTGATCCACTCGCCTTGGCCTCCTGAAGTCCTGGGATTACAGGCATGAGCCCCTGCGCCCGGCATCAATTCTTTAGAAGTTTGAAAATGCCCATCGTAGCTCACTGATATTTTTATGTTTCCCATGGTCTTGAAGATAATGTGTACTCCGTAATTACATGTAGATTTTTATATGATCAAGATTGTAACCTGTAATGTTGAAATCTTGCACTCAGATTGGATGATTTGCCAATTTTTGTTTTCTATGTTTCAAGGACTCCTGTTTTTGTTGTTGTTTTGAGATGGAGTCTTGTTCTGTTGCCCAGGCTGGAGTGCAGTGGTACAATCTCGGCTCACTGCAACCTCTGCCTCCCCGGTTCAAGCAATTTTCCTCCCTTAGCCTCTGGAGTAGCAGGGATTACAGGCACCCACCACCATGCTTGGCTAATTTTTTTATTTTTAGTAGAGACGGGGTTTCACCATGTTGGTCAGGCTGGTCTTGAACTCCTGACCTCAAGCAGTCCACCCGCCTTGGCCTCCCAAAGTGCTGGGATTACAGGTGTGAGCCACCATGCCCGGCTGTGGCTCTTGTTTTTTATATCTTCTTGATGAATGGTTCCCTTTTTCAGTAGAAATTTTTTTTTTTTTTTTTTTTTTTTTTTTTTTTTTTTTTTTTTTTTGAGACAGAGTCTCATTCTGTCACCCAGGTTGGAGTCTGGAGTGCAATGATGTGATATCAGCTCAATGCACCCTCCACCTCCCAGGTTCCAATGATTCTCCTGCCTCCGCCTCCCGACTAGCTGGGACTACAGGTGTGCACCACCATGCCGAGCTAATTTTTTGTATTTTTAGTAGAGACAGGGTTTCACCATGTTGGCCAGGCTGGTCTCAAACTCCTGACCTCAAGTGATCCACCTGCCTCGGCCTCCCAAAGTGCTGGGATTACAGGCATGAGCCACTGTGCCTGGCTCACATTTTTAATTATGGTAACTTTTTCAAGAAATTCTGGGTAGCCAGGGGATACCAGAGGCTTAAAAGGCTAGAGGGAAGGAGAGACAGGGAGAGACTTGCTAGAGGATACAAAATTACTGCTAGACAGGAGGTACAGGTTCTAGTGTTTTACACGCTGCAGGGTGGCTATAGCTCACATTCATATTAATATATAGCTTCAGATAGCTAGAGGAGGACATTGAATATTCCCAACACAAAGAAATGGTAAATTAAAGAAAATATTTAGTTATTGCAGAGATGGGATCTCACTGTGTTGCCTAGGCTGCCCTCTAACTCCTGGGCTCAAGTGATCCTCCCGCCTTGGCCTCCCAAGGTGCTGGGATTACAACTGTGAGCCACTGCACCTATTCTTTGAGTGCATTTAACCTCCTCACTCACTCTGCCAAAACCCACTCCTCTCCCGCGGACAGACGCCCATGAGAAGCCCAGGTGCGCGCTCAGCAACCTTCCTGAGCCTCCCGAGGGCTCCTTAGCGGACTCTGGAGCACACGTCCTCGGTGGCACTGGACTGATGGCCTGCACTCCAGTCAGCAGACTCCCATGTCATTATTTTCCAGACTCATTTACGTGGCGGGCCGGGAGGGCCACATGCTCAAAGTGCTTTCTTACATCAGCGTCAAGCGCCTCACTCCAGCCCCTGCCATCATCTTTTATGTGAGTACAAATCCCGCTAACAGCCCATCTTCAAGGCGGGGGCCCTCCATCCACGGGGTGGAGTAGCCCCGCCCTGCTAAGCCCGGTGGCCTCCAAATGACCCAGATGGGCTTATCCCTTGCCATCAAACAGATATGGAAAGAATCCCAAGACGAGTCAAACAATGTACCCAATAACTGCTCCTTTGTCTGAATTTATCCACGGAAGGCATGGTTTGTGCCCTCAATGCCTCTGTGTGCATTTGTCTGTGCCTCGACCCTGGTAACGAACTCTATATAAAAGCCCACTAGCTTACAGGGAAGGAGGGTAAGACATTTTACCAGGAGGTTACTGACAGCCGCCTCTCATTATGGTCTAATGATTGAGAAGTCACTGGATCCTTGTACAATAAATGCCCTTTGACATCTCGTTTTTTATTGAGACTGAGTCTTGCTGTGTCACCCGGGCTGGAGTACAATGATATGATCTCAGCTCACTGCAACCTCTGCCTCCTGGGTTCAAGCGATTCTCCTGCCTTGGCCTCCCAAACAGCTGGGATTAAAGGCACAGGCCACCGTGCTTGGTTGGTTTTTGTATTTTTAGTGGAGACGGGATTTTATCATGTTGGCCAGGCTGGTCTCGAACTCCTGACCTCAAGTGATCCACCCGCCTCAGCCTTCTGAAGTGCTGAGATTACAGGTGTGAGCCACTGTGTCTGGCCACCCCTTTGACATCCTCTGATGGGAACTGCTCTGTGGTGCATGGTCCGTGTTTGGTGCAATTGTCTGGGCACCGAGCAACCGTCCACATTCCCAGCCTCAGGGGTGGTCTACACCCCTCCCCCAGAGGAGAACCGCTGCGCTCTGTCACTCTGAAGGCAGGAGGACACAGCCGGGAAATGCCAGTCCAGGGCCACGCAACTAACATAGACCACGAGTAGACCTGAGCTTCCAGTCCAGGGCCGTGGCCCACACTGAAAACGCCCTGTGAGGAAAATTTGCAAGTATGAAGCTGATATAATATTAATACATATTAGGTTAGTGCAAAAGTAATTGTGGTTTTTGTCATTACAAAATGGAATTATGGATCGGGTGCAGTGGCTCACGCCTGTAATCCCAGTACTTTGGGAGGCTGAGGCGGGCAGATCACGAGGTCAAGAGATTGAGACCATCCTGGCCAACATGGTGAAACCCCACCTCTACTAAAAATACAAAACCTAGCTGGGCATGGTGGTACGTGCCTGTAGTCCCAGCTACTCGGGAGGCTGAGGCAGGAGAATTGCTTGATCCCGGGAGGCGGAGGTTGCAGTGAGCCAAGATCGCGCCACTGCACTCCAGCCTGGTGACAGAGGGAAACTCTGTCTCAAAACAAAACAAAAAAACCCGCAATTACTGGCTGGGCATGGTGGCTCACGCCTGTAACCCCAGCACTTTGGGAGGCCAAGGCAGGTGGATCACCTGAGGTCTGGAGTTCGAGACCAGCCTGGTCAACATGGCGAAACCCCATCTCTACTAAAAATACGAAAATTAGCCGGGCATGATGGCGGGTATTGTCTGCAGGCTTCATAGAAAAGAGCTATCATAGCCAAAGTCAGTTTGACCCCAACTGTCAAGGGATGCCTAGGAAGTTCCTCTCATGCTAAAATCACAAGAAAAACTGCTGCTTCGGTCTTCTATGACATGAGAACAGTGTTTTGTGTACTAATGACCAACAATTTCTTTCTTCTTTCTATCAGGGTATCATAGCAACTATTTATATCATCCCTGGTGACATAAACTCGTTAGTCAATTATTTCAGCTTTGCTTCGTGGCTCTTTTATGGCTTGACGTTTCTAGGACTCATTGTGATGAGATTTACAAAGAAAGACCTGGAAAGGCCTATCAAGGTAAGCTTGAATTCCCAGAAGTCACAAGTGGCTTTGGGTTTTTTGTAATGAATGAGATAGAGGTAACTCTTTCAAATGCTAGGGGCATGCCTTCTAGTTCCAATCTGACTTGATTCTTTTAAAATATTTTAGAATGGAGTTTACTCTTCATAGTATAGTTTATGATCCAATTAGCTACCTTATTATTCATTTTTTTAAGTGATCAAGAATACCTGTGGCCTGTTTCTGTAACCAAAGAGGTCCACTTCTCTCTCAACTGTGCTATTTACTTCTTATGATGACAGACATTAAGAAAAAGTTAGGTAAGCTAAGGGCTTAAGAAACTAGGACAAGAATAAGGTTACCATCTTTAGCTTTAGGACTTTGTTTTCAGAGATATGTCCAGTGGTCCTTGCTGGCCTGTGTCTTGACTATGGACAAGTCTCTGGCATCGGCTGAGTCATGGCGCAGCCTGCCTGGAGCTGGGCAGACCCATCACGGTCAAGTCATCACAGGCAAAATCATTATGGTAGCATAGAGTTGTAATCTGCACAAAATCCCTCCTAGAAACAGATAGAGCCTGTAGGATAGCAAAGGAGAAACCCTTCAGCCAACATCATCAATGCAAATTGAGGAAATGACATCATCAACGCAAATTGAGGAAATGAGGTCTCACCACCAACTGGACTCTAAGCGTACTCCCACTAGCTACAGCCCCACGTGTCCCTAGGAGGGAGGTTCTCAGTGGGAAGATCGGAGGACCCCCAGGGGAGGTGGTGGAGCAGGGCTGCAGTGGCTTAAGCCCTTGAGGACCCCAGAAACTCCCCACAAAAACTCCTTTCCAGAAGGACAGAGGGGCCACTAAAGACAACAGCAAGAGAAACAACTGCTGGAGAGAAAGGGACACAGCATTTGGCAAGAACGTCAGGGTCAAGGAGCTGGAGCCTGCGGATACAAATCTCTCGCCTGGGAAGGGGCTGCACAGAGAGGACATGTCCCGCTGACACTTCAGAGCATCATGTTAGGGGAAAAAATCATTTCAGAAATAAAGAGTGTGCAGGAAGGAAAAGAAGGAAAACAGGCTGAGTGTGGTGAGTCATACCTGTAGTCCCAGCACTTTGGAAGGCCAAGGGAGGAAGATCAGCCCCAGGAGTTCAAGACCAGACTGGGCAACAGCAAGACCTCGTCTCTACAAAAAGTACCTGGGCATGGTGGTGCATGCCTGTAGTCCCGGCTCTGTGGGAGGCTGAGGTGGAAGAACTGCTTCAGCCCAGGAGGTCAAGGCTGCACTGAGCTGAGCTCGTGCCACTGCACTCCAGCCTGGGCAAGAGAGGGACTCTGTCTCAAAAAAATAAAAGAAAGAACATAAGAACAAAGAAACATGCTAGAAAACAGGGTCAAAGGAAGGAAACCAAAAAAAATATCAGACAGAAAAAGTTAAACTTTTGGTTCCAAGAAGAAATATTAATAGAAATAGGACATAAAAGTACATGAATTCCAGCTGGGCCCAGTGGCTTACGCCTGTAATCCCAGCACTTAGAAGGAACTAATAAACAAAAAAAAAAACTTAAGGCAGGCCGACTACTTGAGGTCAGGAGTTTGAGACTAGCCTGGCCAACATGGTGAAATCCTGTCTCTACTAAAAATACAAAAGTTAGCTGGGCATGGTGGCACATGCCTATAATCCCAGGTACTCGGGAGACTGAGGCAGGAGAATTGTTTGAGCCCAGGAGGTGGAGGTTGCAGTGAGCTGAGATCGTGCCACTGCACTCCAGCCTGGGGGACAGAGCGAGACTCCATCTCAGGGTGGGAGCAGGGCAGGGGGAAAGGAAAATGCAATGACACTTAAAGATGAAAACAAAACAAATCCAGCAAACTGAACTCTGCTTCTGGCTATCAGATGGGCAGAAATCCACAAGTCTGACTCCATGAAAGGGTGGTTGCTCACACGCAGTTAGTGGCATACGCATGGCATAGCCACCATAGAGGGAGATTTGGCAACATCTAGCAGGCATGAGCCATCCTGTTTTGAGGAAATCTATCCCGAAATGAAACTGTCAGAAATATGAAATACACACAAGGTCATTGATGGCAGCATTAATTGTAACAGCAAGACATCCAACACAACCCAAATGTCAACTTATACAGGACTGGTTGAATAAACTGTGGCACGTCTAAAACAGTGATACACAGCAGTAAAAACAACTTCATATATTACTGTGACATACTAGCTGGAATATATTCAAGGAGAAAGGGTGCAAAATTGTTGTTTGCTATCTTTAAGAGTAGGGAAAGACGAATGTGTGTGTGTTTCTTCACATATGTATTCATTCAAAAAGAAATAATGGGAGAATAAAGCAAAATCAAGTTAAAAATTAGAAAACAAAATTAAAAAGGAAAAGGTGAATCTCAAAAATGGAAAACAAATGGAGGTAAAGCTTACTCTATAACAAGTAGGTCATATAACCACACAGGGAAAAGAATTACCAGAATTGATATTATAGGTGTTTGTTTTGGAGACAGGGTTTTGCTCTGTTGCCCATGCTGAAGTACAGTGGCTTGGTCTCGTCTCACTGAAAGCCTTGACCCTTTGGACTCAAATAATCCCTCTGCCTCAGGTACCGGAGTAGCTAGGACTACAGGTGACTACACCACCATATCCAGCTAATTTTTGCATTTTTGGGTGTGTGTGGAGATGGGATCTCACCATGTTGCCCAGTCTGGTCGGAAACTCCTGGGCTCAAGTGATCCTCCTTCATCGGCCTCCCAAAGTGCTGGGATTACAGGTGTGAGCCACTGCGCGCGGCCTCCAGATTATGGTCTTTAAATGCCACTTCCTGCTAAAAGGAAACAAAGCTTTCTGGAGAGGTGGATGAGAACCCAGGTCTGGCACTTCTGTCACCCAGAAAACAAAGAGGCTTTTGAAGAAAACTGGTGTTTCACCCGCAGGGCCCAGGACAGTGTGAAGGGCTCTGCTGCCCGGCACAGGACCTTCTGAACAATGTGAACAGTGACTACCATGGCCTGAAACTCACCACGTACAGAAAAACCCACGGTTTTGAGTTGCCCTTGGAGGTCTCAGGGGCTCAACTTGTCATTCTGAAAATGCAGAGAATAGAACATTTATGCTGCCTTTCCCGTACAAACTGCAATTCAGAATAACCAGAAAGTTGAAGTGTTTCATATAGCATTTCAGATAATTAAGGAAGGAATGGCAAATTAGAAAAATCACCATTTTGCAACCCCTGATCAAATAATGAAGTAAGGCAGTGATCATCAGTGGATACTAAAACCATTAAGCAGTTTATCTTTTTTGAGATGGAGTTTCGCTCTTGTGGCCCAGGCTGGAGTGCAATGGCGCAATCTCGGCTCACTGCAACCTCTGCCTTCCAGAGTCAATCGATTCTCCCGCCTCAGCCTCCCGAGTAGCTGGGATTACAGGCATGTGCCACCACATCCAGCTATTTTTTTTGTATTTTTAATAGAGATGGGGTTTCACCATGTTGGCCAGGCTGGTCTCGAACTCCTGACCTCAGGTGATCCACCCACCTCAGCCTCCCAAAGTGCTGGGATTACAGGTGTGAGTCACCGTGCCTCAACAGTTGATCTTCAGTTTCACCCTGAAACCATGAAAAACTGATGGAGAAATGTATAACGATGGGGTTAAACGGCTCCTCCTGCCCTGAGCCTGCTGTCAACCGCAGCAGTTCAAAGGTGGGACAGTTAAACATCACATGCCTCGTGGTGTGTCACGGAAGGGGGCACTGCTCCGATGGCGAAGCATTTTTGCCCCTAAATCTAACAGTTTGTAGGAAATACCGGAGATGGAGGAGCAAGTTAAATGGCACCAGGAGGAGGCAACTAGGGAAAAAGCTCCCACTGAACACTGCACAGGGGAATCATCCAGTCTCTCCACAAACTGGCATCAAGAGAAAAACGGAGAGGGGGTGGTAAGCATGATAAGAACAAAGTCCTCATCGGGTAGAGATGCATACTGGATATTGTACAGGTAGAATCACAAGATGTCTGATATTTTCCTTATATTTTAGGGAAAAGAAAGGTGGTAGAAAAAAATTAAAAAAAAAAAAAAAGGCGATTTTAAACTTTTTTGAAGACAGAGTCTCACTCTGTCAACCAGGCTGGAGTACAGTGGTGTGATTTCAGCTCACTGCAATCTCTGCATCCCAGGTTCAAGCGATTCTCCTGCCTCAGCCTCCCGAGTGGCTGGGATTGCAGGTGAGCACCACCACACCTGGCTAATTTTTGTGTTTTTGGTAGAGATAGCTTCACCATGTTGGCCAGGCTGGTCTCGAAGTCCTGACTTCGAGTGATCTGCCTGCCCTGGCCTCCCAAAGTGCTGAGATTACAAGTGTGAGCCACTACGTCCAGCCCCAAAATTTCTTTTAAAGAAAATTTTTAAAAGGTGGAGTAGATGAAATAAACTTGGCAAAATTACATTAAAATTATTGAAATTATAGGAGGGGTGCATGGAGTTCATCATACTCTCCTTGTATCAGTTTTTTAAGTGAGAAATTTCAAAAGACAATGAGTGCCCATGGCCACAGCGTGACCTGTTTTTTGCCTCCAGGTGCCCATAGTCATCCCCGTCTTGGTGACGCTCATCTCTGTGTTTTTGGTTCTGGCTCCGATCATCAGCAAGCCCGAGTGGGAGTACCTCTACTGTCTGCTGTTTATATTGAGCGGCCTTATATTTTACTTCCTGTTTGTCTACTTCAAGTTTGGATGGGCTCAGAAAATCTCAAGTAAGTACCAACAGAAGGGCTGCTCAGCTTCTGTGAGGTGCAGGCAGGCATGGCGTCCTCACCTGTCCTGACTCCAAGACCTCTGTCACAGTGTCTCACCTGTAATAAGTAGGGAGGGAAAGCAGCATTTTCTGGTTTTTCTTGGGGGGAGGGGTACAGGACACAGTCTTGTCCTGTCGCCCAGGCTCAAGTGCCAGTGGCATGGTCATAGCTCACTACAGCCTTGAACTCCCAAGCTCAGGCCATCCCCTCACCTGGGCCTCCCAAGTAGCTGGGACCACAGGCATGCACTACCATACCTGGCTATTTTTTTAAATTTTTTTGTAGAGATGAGGTCTTGCTAGGTCGCCCAGACTGGTCTCCAACTCCTGGGCTCAAATGATCCTCCCACCTTGGCTTTCCAAAGTGCTGGGACTACCACCGGCCTGAGCCACTGCACCTGTTTTTTTTTTTTTTTTTTTTTTTTTTTTTTTTGAGACACAGTCTCACTCTTGCCCGGGCTGGAATGCAGTAGCATAGTTTCAGCTCACTGCAACCTCTGCCTCCCGGGTTCAAGGGATTCTCCTGCCTCAGCCTCCCACCTAGCTGGGATTACAGGTGCCTGCCCCCATGCTGGGCTAATTTTTGTATTATTAGTAGAGATGATGTTTTGCCATGTTGGCCAGGCTAGTCTCGAACTCCTGACTTCAAGTGATCTGCCCGCTTCGGCCTCCCAAAGTGCTGGGATTATGTGAACCACTTCGCCCGGCCCATTTTGTTTTTTTTCGTTTTGAGATGGAAGTTTGCTCTTGTTGCCTAGGCTGGAGTCCAGTGGCACAGTCTCAGCTTACTGCAACCTCTGCCTGCCAGGTTCAAGTGATTCTCCTGCCTCAACCTCCTAAGTAGCTGTGATTATAGGCGCCTGCCACCACACTCAACTAATTTTTTTGTTGTTGTTGTATTTTTAGTAGAGTCAGGGTTTCATCACGTTGGCCAAGCTGGTCTCGAACTCCTGACCTCGGGTTGATGCACACGCCTGAGCCTCCCAAAGTGCAGGGATTACAGACATGAGCCACCACACCTGGTCCCATTTTCTTTTTAATTGCAAAAGACACACAACATAAATGTTGCTATCTTAGCCACTTTTTAGTGCAAGGTTCAGTAGTGTTAGGTGTATTCCCACTATCATGCGCCTCATTCTGAAACACCATTCTCCTTTGCCTGATATGCAGGCGTCATCTGAGAGGCCTGGCAGCATCACAAAGACGCCCAAAAAGTCATGACTTGCCCTGCGGAACTGGGCCGGGGTCCAAGCCTTCTAATAATGCCAAAGGCACGGGGCTCATTGTTTAGCTGTCCTGACCCTCATCAGTTTTAGGACAATTGTTTAAAAGTTTGGCTACAGTAGCCACTTTTGCTTCTGGAAAGAAAGCACTTGTGTCAAAGTACATCAAGAGAAACTGAATTACACCTTTAAAAAAAAGTCTGTACTATATTCACAGTTTTTATCCTATACAGTGCAGATTGAACTGCAGAAAAGACTTCCTGGGCATCCTCACAGGGCTGTGAGGTGATCCGTTTCCTGGTATTCCTGTTCCTCTCCCTCTTCCTCTCCCAGGAGCTCCTTGAGGACAGGAATTGGGCTGTGCACAATTTAATTCTGGCTGTGGCAGCCGGAAATAGCCACTTTAAGATTTATTAAGTGAATGTGATCAAAAGCCTGGCCAACATGGTGAAACCCTGTCTCTACTAAAAATACAAAAAATTAGCTGGGCGTGGTGGTGGGCACCTATAATCCCAGCTAGTTGGGAGGCTGAGGCAGGAGAATTGCTTAAACCCAGGAGGCGGAGGTTGCAGTGAGCCAAGATTGAGCCACTGCACTCCAGCCTGGGCAGCAGTGCGGGACTGCATCTCAAAAAAAAAAAAAAAAAAAGCCTGCCTCTTTCTCCTGTTCAGCTTGTCGGAACAGGAAAGTATAAGCAGTCACCACTCCAGACACTCCTAGGAGGTTTTTATTTCTATTCCTGCAATTTTGGGAGACTACACAAGCCAGGAAAGCGTGAAACCCAACCAGAAGGCAGGAAAGCTGCCAGGGCCTCTGGACCCCACTCACAGGGACGTTCTAGTGCCTTTCTTCAGGCTGGGCGCGTGCCAGATCCTCTCCCCACCTACGTGACCTCCTCTGTGAACCCCGGGACCATTGCTTACCTGACAGTGGTGCTGTAACCAAGGGAGAGAACTGATTTCACCTTGATTAACAAAGTGGAAACAAAAGCAAGATATGGTTATGTTATTCCACCGGGAATTTTCCTTTCCTGAAATAGCTCCCTACAAACCCCACCTCTTTTTAAAAATACATTTATGTATGTATGTATGTATGAGATAGGGTCTCGCTATGTTGCCCAGGCTGGTCTCGAACTCCTGAGCTCAGACGATCCTCCTGCTTCAGCCTCAGAAAGTGCTGGGATTACAGGGGTGAGCCGCTGCACTAGGCCTACCCCCTACCTCCTTACTCTGATCCAAACCCTCAGCTGAGAAGGGGAGAGGCTGCAGGCACACTTCTATAGAAAGAAAATCTATTCTTATAAAGAAAACAGTCATCTCCCCCATGCTGCTGAACTTGGATTTGATTATACTGACAGAATCTACCTAGGATAACTTGCAGCCTAATGGTACAGAATATGTCTTATTTCTTAGCTCTAGAATATTTAACCAAGCAATCTGTATTTTAAACAAAATGCAGTCGTAGTGACTTCAGACTAAATAGCCAACTCTTGGTCTGTGGTAGTAAATGTATATACATAATTGAGTCATTTAAATTTTTCCTAGAGTGTAAGTTGTTTGGTGGCAATAAAATTCCTAATTCTTTAAGAGGAAGTAACTTACCTCCAAAGCACCAGTGTGGCAACGAAGGATGGTTCTGGTTAGCTCTAAACACCGGCCATCCCCTAAGCGCAGGGTCTAGGTGACACATCACCAAAGACTGAGCACAGTGTCACCCTCATCCACAACCCCAGTGAAGCTTTTGAATTTCAGTCTTCTAATTGCACTCATTTTTGACTCTTATTTCAGAGCCGATTACCATGCATCTTCAGATGCTAATGGAAGTGGTCCCACCAGAGGAAGAGCCTGAGTAACAAGCTCCATCTCTTGTAGCTAAGTCAAAGCTGAATTTATTTTCTTAAGGAAAAATTGTGGTTATTTCTTATGAATAAAATATACTCAGATGTTTATAATATGGTTACTTTTAGATATTCTTAGTTCTCTGGGTGGGGGTTCCAGAGGGGAGCAGTGGCAAGCGTTTGCTAAGGTTGTTGTCAGGTGAGATGTCACCTAACAGAAGGCAGAAGCTTAGGGAAGGGCCGCATAAAAGCCTCCATTACAGTGGCAACTGTTTAACAAAGAGCACATCACACTTAAAGGAAGGGTGTTCTTTAAACTCAATGTCAATAAAATGGACATTTTTGCTTTGATACAGATTTTAAAAATAGTAAATTACTGGCCAGGTGCAGTGGCTCACGCCTGTAATCTCAGCACTTTGGGAGGCCAAGGCAGATGGATTGCTTGAGTCCAGGAGTTCAAGACAGCCTAGGCAACATGGCAAAATCACGTCTCTACAGAAAACCGCAAAGAAATTAGCCAGGCATGGTGGTGCACGCCTGTAGTTGCAGCTACTCAAGAGGCTGAGGTGAAAGGATCACCTGAGCCTGGGAAATCTAGGGTGTGGTGTGCCATTATCATGCCACTGCACTCCAGCCTGCATGACAGAGTGAGACCCCAACTCAAAAAGTAAATAAATACATAAAAATATTGAAGTACAAATGTTTATCACCCACTCTTCCCCCAACCCAAAAGTACTGGCATCCCATACTGACCCTGTGATGTGCATAGCACGTATCTGCCAGGACGAATGTCAGGAGCTGAGCTTCTATCCAGAACCCTCCACAGCTGGCGTGCTCATCACAAGGGTCCCCTGCGTCGCCGGTCAGCATCACTGGCTCCCCAGCAGCCTTTACGGGCATTTTAGTCCAACCAGAAAGTGTGGTTAATAAAGTTTTATTTTATTTTAGCATTCAGGGAAAATATTGTTTAAAAAATTTAAAAAGCAACATTTCTGTGAAAACACTGAAATTTTATTGCTAATATACTGCAAAAGACATCCATACCACAGCTAAGTATCAGTGATTTTAGAAGCTAGAGACAAAGGCACTTTCACCTTGCATTTTAGATATTTGCCCAAAACTTGAAATCAGACATATTCAAAGCAGTGCAGAAAACCAATTATTTACTAATTGTTCATATAGTCAGCATCCTGTGTCCCACAAAATGTTTTTAGAGATTCAGATATTAGAACATTTGAATGTCTGAAGAAAGAAACGGATTTTCCTCCCTGCACGGGAAACACATGTTCGTGCAGCTCCATTACTAGCTATTACCATTTGCTATGCTGTACAGAAGAGACTCAGCGCACCCGGGTGTGAACAGCAGGCAGCAGGCATGCACAGGGAGCCACAGGATGGCCGCCCACAGACCTCCACCGAGAGGGGCAGTAGCCATAGGCAGAGAAGCGGATACTGATATGGGCGTCAGAAGTGCTCCACAGTCAAAACCTTTGCCAGCAAAGACACCAGAATTTTCTACTTCCCAAGAGCCTGCCCAATTTACGAAAAAGGAAAATCATCTTACTTCTTGGGCCCATTTGATACCTGCCAGTCACTTGCAAGGGTCACAGTAGTGACCTGGGCACACTCCCGGCAGCTGTCTTGGCTGCACAGCACGTCCTCCCTGGGGGAAGGCAAGGCCCAACCCAGCAGCACTCGGTGGGTGCTCCCTGAGACAAGGCCAGGCCACACAGTGAGGGGATGTCTCATTTTACAGATGAGGAAACTGAGCCAGAGTGTGATCCACACCTGCTCACAGGACAGCCTGGATGACAGAGTTTGCCTCTAGTTCAGGCGTTGGCTTCTACCTGGGACATACATAAGCCTGGCACTTTCTGATGCAAAAAAAATAAGGCTCTGGGGCCATCACACAACACTCATGTTCTATCCAAATTCTTTTCCACTCCGAGGCAAAGCTGACATATGGATACTGAACACACAGGACTCTCAATTTCTCAATAAGTCACCTTTCTACTCAACAAAGAAACCCAAAGCATGAAAAACCAGCCTCTGGGTGTAACCATGACCTCATACACTCCTCCTCCAAACCTGGTGACCCCAGGTGCTGCAGCCACATGAGGATGGGGTCGCAAATGTCTGCAGGGCTCATGGCATGCAGGTGTTCAAAGGTCACCTCCAGGCACCACACAGGCCCTTGTAAGTTTCCACTAAACAGCAACCTTTGTGCCATTTACTCAGGACTCTGCAGGTCCAGGGGATTGTTTAGAACCAGCAGCTTCACCCTGGAAAGCCCTGGGTCTTACTGAGCAATCTGATTTCTACCTTTGCCTATCTCTTCATCAGAAGTCAGCTTACTCTGAGGAGGTAGCACTACCCAAGGACACTAACACGATCAGTGCAGGTAGATGGGTATGTTCAATCCCACTAGCTCATGGTTGGAAGGGCTGGTTCAACAGTGGCCGAGTGTAAGTGTGAATATTGGAGACCTCAGTTTATATGCGTAAGATCAGGTTACAAACGCAATGTATCAAACAGAGGTCTAGGTGAACAAAAAAATGGATGGACTGACTCTAGACAGCACATTTCATCATTCAGATGCGCATCTGTTCTGCCAGTGTGAGAGGCGACAGGTGTCGGGCAGGGCAGACAAGCCGAAGGGGTCAGTCCGCACCTGCCGTTTCTCTGTGTCCACTCTCCTTTGATGGTCTTGTCATCAGCCTATTTTTAAGTCAACAAAGAATTTCTCACCGTTACCAAGTCCAGCACCACAGGGCGATAGTAATCATTTATCCTTGAGGTAAAGAAAGATTTGGCTGGCCAGGCGTGGTGGCTTATACCTGTAATCTCAGCACTTTGGGAGGCCAAGGCAGGCGGATCACCTGAGGTCAGGAGTTTGAGACCAGCCTGACCAATATGGTGAAACCCCATCTCTACTAAAAATACAAAAATTAGCTTGGTGTGGTGGTGGGCGCCTGTAGTCCCAGCTACTCAGGAGGCTGAGACAGGAGAACTGATTGAACCCGGAAGGCAGAGGTTGCAGTGAGCTGAGATTGCGCCAGTGCACTCCAGCCTGGGCAACAGGGCGAGACTCCATCTCAAAAGAAGAAAAAAAGAAAGATTTGGCTATGACTGATTGTCTTAACTTGCAGTCATGTGGCAATATCGACTTTTGTTCAGCATCTTCCAGCCGCTCCTGAGGACGTCATTCACCTTCTCAATCACTCTCACTGTCATCCTCTGAGGTGCTGCTACTGTCTTCAACCTCCTCTGCCACTGTGTATGGCAGGTTTTTACAGTTCACTTCTAAAGGAGTAAGATACAACAAATAAGTGCAGACGGATCATCAGATCTTTTATTTCCCCCCATTATTTGGGTCAATGAAGAAAAGAATGCCTTGGGTTCCAGCTCTCTACGTATCTTATTGTATATTTTCATTATTTTAGGTAAGAAAGGAGCAGGTAAAATTTGTCTGCTTATAAATTATTCTTCTAGGAAGAATACTGTAACATGTTATGAAAAGGTATGTTTACAACCAAGGGTTAAGTGCTCAAACCAGAACATTTAGCACCAAGATCGACAAAGAGAAAACAAATTTATAAGGGCTTGACATGAAAGGCCCATTTCCACCAACGCTGAATCCCTACGTGGGTGACCGTGTCCCTCACTGCCCTCAGGACCTACAACCCCACAGAGAGTGGGTGCCCCACGCCTTACCCTTGGGGAAGTGGCTGTCCTCTTCAGAGTCTTCCCAGTGATCAAAATCAAAAGCCACATTAGGGTTCTGTTGAAGAGAACGGCTGACAGTGAGTGGGTGACTCTGACACACGCAGGGAGACCGCCCACTGCTGCGCATCCCCACTCACCCTGTGTCTGAGCAGGTGACACCACGCTTCCCTTCTCTCTTTGGCCAGAGTGATTAGAGGTTCATCGTTTCTAATCACGCATTTGCAGTCACCTTGCCTTATGTTGCCCTGCAGCTCCAGATCAGCCAGGTAAAACTTGTCTCCCACCCAAGCACTGGGTTATAAAAAGAAATAAAGTCAGCCTCTTAAAATGCTAGAAATTATTTCTATTCTACTTTATATGGCTATACATAAACCCACCTGAAAACGACTCTATCTCTTAAATACTGACACTTGTAGTCCTTTGCATTCCTTATTCTTATCTTTAAGATGACGACATCTTCTTTTTGGAACCATTTTACTTGTGGGTGGAAGCTAGAAGGAGAGAGAAAGACTTGCATATTCATCAGTCTTATTTACTGGGTAGGGAAGCCAATTCCTCCACGCCGAGTGGACCTACCTTTTCAGAGGTGGCTGTGCAGTCCTGCCAACAGAGGCACCATCAGTGTTTCCAGATGAAGTTTCTGCACAAAACCAAAGTCAGATTGCCCTACAGGTTATTTATATGTAACTCCGTCATGTACGCACATATATACACTTTTTTGCACCTTATGCAACTTCTAGATGAGGAACCACATAAGAGTGTAAATTGTATAGTAACCCTAGTATCTAACTGCAAAGAACAGTTAGAAAAAATTTAAAACCATCACATAGGAAAACAGAATTTTAAATGTAGAGTTTCGCTCTTGTTGCCCAGGCTAGAGTGCAATGGCACGATCTTGGCTCACTTTAACCTCAGCCTGTCAAGTTCAAGCAATTCTCTTGCCTCAGCCTCCCACGTAGCTGGGATTATAAGCATGCGCCACCACACTCGGCTAATGTATTTTTAGTAGGGACGGGTTTTACCATGTTGGTCAGGCTGGTCTTGAACTCCTGACCTCAGGTGATCCACCTGCCTTGGCCTCCCAAAGTGTTCGGATTACAGGCTTAAGCCACTGCACCTGGCCTACAATTTTATTTTAAAATAAAAACAGCCTTTGATGAGTATTAAAATTAAATGACCAGGAAGTAAAGTCACTCATTTGAAAAAGAACCTCATTGCAGTGGCTGGCCTTGGATACAAACATGCAGGCTTCTCTGGGGCTGTCTTGACCTGCCACGACTTCAAGGACAGCGGCCAGCACGCACTAGGAGCCAGTGCCGGACACGACATGTCCTCAACGTAATGTGAACCTCTCAATCTTCAACAGGTGAGGCTTCCTTCAAAACACCAGAGCAAAAATGTTCACAGCTGCTGGAATCACAGTAGGCTGAGATGGAAAACAGTTCCACCATCTGTGGTTTATTCATGGTATGGAATACAATAGCAAACAGACTCCCGCTGAGAAAACACCATCCTTGGTGTCACCTGCCGCCTGCCATTGAGTGGCCTCAGGAGACAAGTGTGCTGACCCAGTGACATCAACATCAAGAACCTTCGAGAACACAATCCCCGAGTCCTTCTGAGAAGAGGCAAGCAAAGGAATCCAGGGTGGCCTGGCCTGATCACAGAAGCTGGGACTGATTCTGAAAACGGGCGTGAAGCTGTGGTGTGAAGGAGGTGGTCCTGCCACCAAACGTGAACAAGAACAGGAGACTGCTTCTGGGAGCAGGCGGCCAGGTTCCTCTTCGGAGCCATAAACCAAAAAGTGACTGAGGGAGTCTCAGCCAACTTGAGGTTGATTTATCCACGGTTAAGGATGCGCCCCGGAAAAAACACACAAATCACAGGAGTGCCGTAGCCTCTGCTTTTCCAAAGGGGCTTCCTGAGCATCAGTGTTTACAGGGGAGAGCAAGCCAGAGGGAGAAAGGGCGGCAGAGGGGTGGGACAAACCCAATCACACGTCCCCTGGAGCTCAGGAAAGCTACATTTTACACAAGATAAAGTGACATGTGACAGGAGACATACAGGACACAGGGCTACAACCCAGAGCTGTGAAGGGACAGCTGTTTGCTTGGGAACAAAAGGCAGGTAGCTTAGACCCAGGTCTGGTGTGCAACTTCCCCTTTGGCAAAGGGAGTTTAGAGATGGTGTTTTGCTTGCATAGAGCGTAGCTACAGCTGGGAAGGCAAGAGCGCGCAGTGGCCCCTGAGCTGCACCACATGCAACACAAACCACCCCACGCCCAGGTCCTCCAGAAGCCCTGCTTGGCACAGTGACATCTGGGTGGTGTGTCTGCAGAGGAGGGCACAGGGTCCACCTGAGACCAGCCACCTGCTGCAGAGCCAGCAGACGCTGCGGAGGAAACGCCGTCCTAACTGTGATGGACCTCTGAAGCTCAGGCCTTGCCCGCTCACCAGCTCATGGTGACACAATGGACACATCACACTTTTCTAGCCACAGGGAGACAGTGAGTATCCAAAACCAGAAACTCTCTGGGAAGCCAAGGCAAGAAGAGCCATGAAAGAAGTGCATGGCATTTTCCTTCAACTGCTTGAACCTGAACAGGATCCCGGAGACAAGTCTCTTGCAGTTGAGACACAGAGCTGGGGAGTTCCCCATTAGAGTGGCTCTTCCATGAAGGCGGCCAAGTGCCTGGTAGCTGCAGTGGACATTTAATAGCCAGAGCTTCCCAACAGAGCTCACTAAACAATTGCATGTCCTCCAAGAGCTACGGTTTGGGGGACCCACCTGGCTGCCCTGATCCCCCTTGGGCCCCACCAGGCTCTATGCAAAGCACAAATCAGCCGGTAGCAGGGTCTGCGGCAGTGCAGACCCGCTTCAGCTCCACCTCTGCAGTCTACTGGATCCCAGTCTGCTACTGTGGAATCAACACCGCTCTGGGAAAATCCTCTTAACGGCAATCGTCCCAATGACCCTGTTCCTCTGACCAGTTGGCCTTGCAACTTCTCTGTTTCCCAGGACTCTTCAGAAAACCCTTTCCAGCAGATCCCACACAGCGAAACCAGCTGCCCCCACTGTGGCCGAATCCAGGGGCAATCTTCATGAAGAGAAGGTGCATGCGCATTTTAACAGCTACATCCAGTCCCCCACGTACCACTTGCCTGCAGAAGACCCTTTCTCCTCACCTGCACCTCTCACCTCACCAGCCGCAGTCACTGCCAGCAAGAGCAATAAACGGGACTGTGATGAAGAAAGGCATACCTGGGTTTGGACCACGGCAACAATGAAATGCATCTAAACCCATTTTTCCAAATGACCCACCTCTGTCTCAACACCCCCCTCCCCCGCCAAAAGAAAAAAAAAGCTGTGTGTGGAAATGGCTGGAATAATTTCTGTAGGAAACAATTTCCAAAACATATCCAGAGATGCATGGGAATCACACAGGCAGTAGGCAAGACACCTCCGTCACAGAGCCACCTCCTCCCTCAACCTCCATCTTCAATGAGGAATCAATCTGTAGGGGCGTGAACTGCCCTCTGGGGCACTCAGCACCTCAGTCGCATTATCTGGGGATTTCACTGTCTCGGATGTGTATCAAAGGGACTGGAGCCGTGCAGGGTCTACCCTCCCAGGATCTTATCCCGCCCTCCTGGGAACTGGAATGAGGGACCAGAGCGGGAGCACTGAACATCTGCGATGTGGAAACCTGGAGGTCCCGGCGCTGGAGCGTTGGGGACTCTGTTTAGTTATGGGATGAGTTTATCAATATATGTCATCTAGGCATTTTCTAAGATTTGTCAAGACAAGGGGCAATGACCTAACCCCATTTCATGAAGACAACAAATATCAAAATTAAAAGGCCACATGAAGATAAATTCCAGTAACGGAAAATGGTCTCACCTCTCCTTTCCTTCTCCTTCTTCCTCACTGACTTCCCCTTCTGCAAGGGCTTGGGTTTTGTCCCGTTTGTCTTTTATTTTCTTTTTTATTTTTTTGAGATGGAGTCTCGTTCTGTTGCCCAGGCTAGAGTGCAGTGGTGCGATCTCAGCTCACTGCAACCTCCGCCTCTTGGGTTCAAGCGATTCTCCTGCCTTAGCCTCCCAAGTAGCTGGGACTACAGGTGTGTACCACCATACCTGGCCAATTTTTTTGTATTTTTAGTAGAGATGGGGTTCTAACATGTTGGCCAGGCTGGTCTCGAACTCCTGACCTCAAGTGATCCACCTGACTCGGCACCCCAAAGTGCTGGGATTACAGGCGTGAGCCACCGTGCCCAAGCAGTTCTGTTTGTTTGTTTTTTGAGACATAGTCTTGCTCTGTCATCCAGGCTGCAGTGCAGTGGTGTGATCTCAGCTCACTGCAACTTCTGTCTCTCAGCTTCGATGGATCCTCCCACCTCAGCCTTTTGAGTAGCTGGGATTACAGGTGCCTGCCGCCACGCCCAGCTAATTATCTTTATTCTTTATGGCACCTAACTCAGTGCCAAGTTCATACATGTCAGAAATCTTTGCTAAATCCGTGCGATTAGCCCGGCCAAGGTCAGCCAACTCTATTCAAATGCCAGCTCCTCCTCTTTGCTGAAGCGCCGTGCAATAAAAGGGAGCCTAGACATAACGTCTGAAGAGAGCCATGCAATATGCAAATACTTCCCAAAATCAAGAAAACAATGCCAGCACTTGTAATCATGCAGATTAATTTCACAGACATAATGTTAGTTGAAGGAAGCCACAAGAACATATACTATAGGCCGGGCACAGTGGCTCATGCCTATAATCCCAATACTCTTGGAGGCTGAAGCAGAGGATCACTTGAGGCCAAGAGTTCAAAATCAGCCTGGGCAACACAGTGAGACCTCATCTCTATTTCAAATAAAAGAATGTATTCTATATGCTTCCAATTCAGCAAAACGAATGGGGTCAGAAATCAGAATGGTTGGTGGGGAGGGTTCTGGGCAGGAGACTTCTGGGGTCTTGGAAATGTTCAACAGCTCCATCTGGGTGTGGTTCACGGGGACACACACACACACACACACACACACACACACAGACACTGCTGAGCTGTTCTCTTAACATCTGTGCACATCACTGGATAGATGTTAGACCTCAAACTACAAAAACAAAACACTGGAGGCTGAACTGTCAAAAATAAGAACCGTTAGGTGACATCAGTTTATGTCGTCTTTTCTACATTTCATCTCAAAGTGGAAAGTCTAAACATTAGAAAATTTCCAGACATTAACGATTTGAACTTAACCATCTTTTGAATAGCAAATACCTACCAGCCTTCTGGTTTTCTGAGTTCGTCTTGGACTCAGCCCCTCCTTCTGCACCCGGGTCCTCGGTCTGGAGGCTCTGCAGGCGAGCAGTGTCTTCTGCTGGAGGAGGTGTCCTAGACAGGAGAGGCGGGGTTAACACCTGGCTCTCTCCAGGAACTCCCCAAGTGGGAGAGGAAGGCAGGCAATAAATGACTGCAAAGTGCCTCTGGCCCTGGGGAGTCAGACCCACATAGAGCTTGTGGCTCATTTAAGATGCCCCGGGCAGCCTGCCAGCTCTGTGCCTTCTGATGAGGGCCTGGTGACTGACACGGGACCAGGGAAGGCCTTCACTCTTCACCAGAGTAGTTTGCCTTCCACACTCACTGCTGCCCGCTTCTAACAGGACAGACGTGACAAGCCAGTTTCCTGCCTCCCCTACCCAGGCTCTGGGGCCATCTTCCCAGAGACCACCCCTGTTACCAGTTTGGGCCTACTTCTGGAAATATTCTTTGCATAAAAAAGAAATTACTGCCTTATATATCCTTCTATCTAAAACACACAGACGCACACATTTAAACACATGGAGCCTACTAAATTCAACGTGCTGCCCCATATTTTATCCTACTTAATAACTAGCTAGATTATTTATTTTAAAATTTTTATATCGTGTTATTCTTTTGGTTCTTTGAACAGGTAACCACATTCATGCAGTTCAGTATTTTAAAATAAGTCAAATTTGGCTGTACAGTGAAAAGCTCCCTCTCACCCCTGCTCCCCAGCCAGCCAGCTCCTTTCCTCGTGGGTGACAGTGTGACTTGGTTTTTGTACATCTTTGAAGAGACAATTCAAGCCTAAATGAGCGCGCACACACACAGAGCTGTGAGAAGGAGGGGTGCACGCATCTTCTGGCCGGGAACAAGCCTGTGGCGTGGCACTTTCCAGATTCAGGCAGCGAGCGTCCCTAGTCACTGCCCTTCCCCGGGCTCTGTGCAGTCACCCATCCTCCTCCTTCCTCCTCATACTCACCAAGCTTTGACTCTCCTCAAACAGCAGCAAACCAAGAGCCTTCCCCGGCTGCTTTCCTGAGCCCTAGGCTTAGACTTTCAGTAACCTTAAAAGCTAGTACCTCCACAGCCCACCTCAGCCTCTCCTCTTCTGCCGAGGGCTGTGTGTGGGAACCACCTGTCACCGTCCACTGCACCAGCGTCCCCCAGGGACCACACTCCCCTACATCTGCCCACCACTAAGTCCGGTGGCTTCCAGATCTGCCAGTCACAGCCCGAGAGACTCTCGCCAGTTCCCTCTCTACCTGTCAGGATCCCCTGTTCTCCAGGGGCTGTCTGAGATGGGGTCTCTCCTAGCAGGCTCCCTGAGAAACCTCACAGTGCCTGTACTGCTGTGTGCTCTGTGTTCACAATCACGGGTATGGTAAGCTCACTTCCTAACCACAAACCTACAGTGCAAAAAAGGGGCCGTGCAGAGCCTTAGCATAGAGCTGGGGCTCAAAGTCAGTGCTTCCCATAAGCCACTAAACTTGTTTTGGTTAAATCTACTGAACTTTAATGACCTCTTCATTTCTAAAAGAGCATCTTAAAAGTATGGGAAAATTTTTCTTGTTTCTCGAAAGTGGATGGAAACTACCCTGTATCCTAATCCTATAGGTACCCATTTTTATTAAGGTAAAAAAATGAAAAAACTTTAGACCATAAGGTGTTCATCTTTGCCTTTTTTTTTTGAGACAAGGTCTTGCTGTCACCCAGGCTGGAGTGCAGTGGGACAATCACAGCTCCCTACAGCCTAAACCTGGGCTCAAGCAATCTTGCCACCTCAGTCTCCCAAGTAGCTGGACCTACAGGCGCACACCACCAAACCCAGCTAACTTTTATATTTTCAGTATAGACAGGGTCTTGCTATGTTGCCCAGGCTGGTCTCAAACTCCTGAGCTCAAGCGATCCTCCGGCCTCGGCCTCTCAAAGTGCTGGGATTGCTGGCATGAGCCACTGCGCCTGGCCCACATTCTCTTTAAGCCCTCCTACTTTCAGCTGTGACTCAGGAATCTTTCACCATCACTAGCAACCACTAACCCCGCAGGCACTAGCCCAGCTGTCAGTCTCGGTTCGCATTCGCTGGGTCTGCAGCTGCACCTGGCCCAAGCTCATCACTCCTGCCCAGGACATGCATCCCTCACCCACCCACCTCCAGACATCCTCTCCAGGCTTTCCTCCACCTGCTAGCTACAACATCCCCGGCCTTTTCCACACTCCCTGGCGGAGGCACCAGGCTCACCCTTAGACCCCTCCTCTCACGCCTCTGGGGCTCCCAGGCCCTGCCATGAGGCCTGTGCTCTTGCCACAGACGCAGCCTGCCTGGAGCCCTGTCAGCTCCAGCAGAACACCATGAGAAGCTGGTGGCTTCTCAGCCTCCACAAAGCCACCTGGTCCAAGCCTCCATCTTTCTGTCCTAAGCTCCTGGCACAGCCCTTGTCCCCTAGCCCTCCCTTCAGTCTGTTCTCAAGACAGCAGCCAAAAGCCAACTTCTGTTCAAGTCACCCATCTGCTCAAAACCCCCTCATGGCTCCTGGCTCTGTGGAATGAGAGCCCATTCCTTGCAGTGGCCACAGGCCTCGCAAGACCTGGCCCAGCCTCTCCTGGCCCCTGCACCCCCGGGTCCCTGTGTGCCGCTCCACTCCGGCATCTTCCTCCCTGCTCCTGGAACTCACCACCCAGACTTTCCCCTAGCCCATGGGGCCTCCTCCCGGCAACCACGTGGACCATGCCTCACTGGCTCCCAACTACACATGCGCCCTGGGAGGAAGCTCTGTGGTGTTCTTACTCACCCATGCCCCTCCTGCTCCTCGGACGGACAATCCTGGTCTTGAGCAGGCCTGGTTCCTGTCACCGTCAGCCTGGAGGAGCAAAGCAGACTTATTTGCAAATAATCGTGGGTATCTGTGGACCTTGTCTGGGGACAGTGGAGGACAGAGCTCGGAGTACAGGGGGAAAAGCAGTGGGACCTCCTTCTAAAGCTACCAGGCCCTACAGACCCAAGAGGCCTGTGTGGGCCGGGCCGGAGAAGATGCAGAGAGCAAGAGACTAGGGAATTAGGATGTTCAAAAGCAGTCATGTGTACCGGCCATTTAGAAAGCCACATGCACACAGAGACATGCCTGGAAGAGCCCTGAGGAGACCTGGAGTCTGCACCGCAGGCGGGGCCCTGGAGAGGATGTGAAGAACTGCAGGCCTTGGGCGGGGCTGGTGGAATGTACAATGGGGCAGCTGCTGTGGAAACTGGATGGAGCTTCCCCAAAAATCACACACAGGATTCCCGCAGGACCAGGCAGCTCCACTTCCAAGTAGCAACCCCAGAGAAGTGAAGGCAGGGGCTCAAACAGGTATTTGTACATCTGGGTTCACAGGAGCACAACCACCACAGTCAAGAGGGTCAGCAGCCCAGGCGTGCACAGGCGGATGAATGGAGAAGTGAAACTTGGTGATCCATGCCATGGAGGATGAGCTTCAAAGGGAAGGAAATCCGACCCGGGCGGCAACACGGGTGGACCTTGAGGACACTACACCGAGACAAGCCAGGTACAAAAGGCAAACAGCAGATGATTCCACTTAAAGTACCCGGGACTGGTAGATTCACAGAGACAACAGAGAGTAGAGCTGGCAGGGGCAGACTCTGGAATTGCCACGTAAGGGGCAGAGTTTCTGTCTGGATGATGAGCAAGTTCTGGAGATGGATAGTGATGGCTGCACAACACTGCGAATGTCCTAAGTGCCACTGAATTGTACACTTAAAAACAGTTTAAATGGCAGCCGTTGGCGTGAATTTTGCCACAATAAAACGCATGGGATTGGAGAAGTCACCGAGTCTTTTTTGCTGTGCTAACAGCGCTCTGGTCAGGTTTTCCGGAGCCCTGCTGCTCTCATCCCTGCCCACGCTTGGTGCGTGTCTGCCTTCCTTCTCTCACTTCCCCCTTCTGGTGGGCTGGGCGTGTAGTGGTGTTACCCCCTGGGCTCTCATCTTCGTCTCCCTGATGACTCAGGGGTTCCGGCACCTTCTCTTATGGTAATTAGACATCCAGAAGTGGCTGCTCAGGGCTTTTGTCCCCTTTCCTAACAGGTGCCTGCCGTTCTCCTCCTGGCTGGAATGAATTCTTGATACAGATCCTTCGCCCTTTGGAGTTGCCAGGATCCCTCCACAGAGTGACTGTCACAGTCTCTCTAATACCTCTCATGGGAGGAGACGCTGGCGCAGCCACTTTGGAACACTATTGGGTAGGAACTCTATGACTCAGCAATCCCATTCCCCATTCCCTCAGAAATATATTTGTAAGTGTATATATTTGTAAAAGGCATGTACGATAATGTTTAATATACCCCAAACTGGAAATTTCCCTGGTTAACAGAATGGGTAAACAAATAATGGTATATTCATACAAAGGAACATGATACAGCTGTGAGAATTTAGATAAATTATGCCTCCTTCGAGCCTAGCTTCTGTCACTCACCGTGGTTAGGAAGTATACTGTCTAATTCCATTAAAACAAAGTACAAAACCGGGGACGAACATTTCTGCTTTTCCATGTCAGGAGAATGGCTCCTCTTGGTGGGGAGGAGTCCCTGGGAGGGAGGGGGAGGCTCTCAGGCGGGCTGTGTTTCTTGATTCGGGCTGGTTACACAGGTATGCTCAGAAAAACCCAACACATCTGACCATGCAAGTCTGATGTGTGCACTTTTTGTATGTGTGCCATTTGTCAATAAAAAGTTAACAACAATCCTTGCTGTAAGAGATACAGGTGAAATAATATATTTGATATCCACTTGATAATACTCCAAAAAAGCAAGGGTGGGATGGAGTGTAGATAAAACAAGATTTCCAAAAGCTTGGTCATTACTACAATTGAGTGATGGGTACATGGAGACTCATTAAAAACTTTTTTTTTTTTTTTTTTTTTGAGACAGAGTCATGCTCTGTCGCCAGGCTGGAGTGCAGTGGTGCGATCTCATCTCACTGCAACCTCCACCTCCCAGGTTCGAGCAATTCTCCTGCCTCAGCCTCCCAGGTAGCTTGGATTACAGGCATGCGCCGCCACGCCCAGCTAATTTTTGTATTTTTAGTAGAGACGGGGTTTCATCATGTTGGCCAGGCTGGTCTCAATCTCCTGACCTTGTGATCCAAACACCTCGGCCTCCCGAAGTGCTGGGATTATAGGCGTGAGCCACCGCACCTGGCCAACTCTTCTACTTTCATAAAACACGTCCTTAACACTTGTGAGTTTTCCTTCCAAAAGCTCTTCCAAAAAGGAGACAGAAATCCACTTACAAGGTCTGGCTCGGGCTTTCTTCAAAAGCCGGCATCTTAGCGCCTTCATGTAATTTTTTTAGTTCTTCTGCATGTTCTGGATTATCGATGCCCATTCCCATGGACAGAATTTCAGCTCGAACATTATAATCAATGACAGACGTTTTCAAATTGGAAAGGTTTATAATGTGCACCTGGAATCAATGAAAAAACAGAACATCAAAAGGCGTCACTCTGAATTTTCACTGAAGCACACACACCCTCACAGGGCCTCTCTGGCTCCTCCTGCCACGTCGGCTACACTTTAGCGCTTGCCACCATGTGCAGGGCTTCCCACGGCAGCATCTGGATTGGTTCATACCTGAGGTTCCATCCGAATTGTCCACACCTCGCCCCATGCCACAGAAATATGGGCAAGTGGGGGGAGGGGCAAGAGCAAATCTAGGATAAACCCGTAGTCAAGACCAATCTGTAAGGCCACGGCCAGATGCACACTTCTGACATCTTTCTTACTCCTTCTCAACCACTTTTCCCTGCCGAGACTCAGCATTTGCCTGTGCCTGGGAAGCGCCTACGCCAAGGCCCTGAATCCTGTTCTGGGCCATTTCTTCTGCTTATCTTTTCTGCAACCAAAACATCCTCATCCATTTCCATTTACAGAAAATTAAGTCAAACACAAAAATCTGCAACAGACTGGCCCTGTTGGGGGTGTGAGCATAGGAGGGGGCATCCCTTCCATGGTGAGAATGGGGGGTGCTCCAGGCCTACCCTGGCCGAGGCCCCTTCCTAGGTGAACCCCAGGAATGTGTGCCCACCAGGGAATGTGTGGAGGAGCCTCTCTCCACTCAAACTGGGTGGGAGCAGGATCAGGTGGAGACGGTGAGGGTGGGTCTGTTTCCCTCTGGCACATCGTGGGCACTGCCACATGCTGCAGCATGGACACATCTGCCAGGTGGGTTTTCTTTTTTGCTTCAATCTCTTTTAAATCCCTGCTTAATAAATTTTCTGCTTTTCTCTCCAACAAAAAAATAAACACAATACTATCACAACACCAACTAAGATGCCCAAATCGCCTCATTTACCTGCATTTGTAATCTATATTTTCTCTTCTGAAAACCATTTTCTGCTTAGAGAGAAAATCTTACATCCACTGCCCTTTTAACATGTTAAAGCTTTTCCAACGTGATAAAAATAACATCCAGCAACAGTTTTTATAAACTAACTCCTTTAAATCTTCTAAGTATTCATAATAAGGTTTAAGTCTAATACAGCAGAATTTGGAATTGAGAAGTGGAGCTTGCGGGGAACAAGCAGGGAGGGGTGGTACTAGCAGCCGTGGACAGACACAGATGCCTGTGAGTCACGTGTCCTTGTCATGTGTCCTCCCCCCTACCTCCTCTGCAGGATGGGGCTTCAGCTGCATTGCTCACAGAGGGAACCCCAGTGCCCAGCACTGCTCCTGGCACGTGGCAGGCGCTCAGTAAGTGCGTGGTGAATGAGTGAGTCAGAAACTGTGTGTATCAGAGAATGTCGCGTGGAGTCCTCACGAAGCTTTGTTCGGCTGTATGTGTATGCCTCACATACAGAGTGCACATGTGTGCTGGGTTACAATGTAAAATACTCCCCTGAACAAAAACGAAACCCACAGCCCAATTCATGCCCCAAATAACATGAAAAACACCTCTCCCTAACAAAACCCCAAATAAGTCACCATTTCTGTGCAGCAGTTATTCAAGTGACGGGTTAGAATAATCTGGATAACTTTAGGGGCCCATTCAAACAGATTTATTGTTAAGAAAACTGCATACTTACCATTGGATCAATCCAAATTGTATTTCCCAAAGCCAGGATCACCTTTGCATCATGCAATTTTCCAACAATTTTATGATGAATGTACCTGGTAACCTGAAAAAAGCACTTAACGTTATTTTAGGTGAGGCTTTAAAAAATAACTTATTTTGTATTCACCACACAGTTTGCAAAATATTCCATGAATTTCATTTGAGCCTCATAGTAACACTATGAGGTCACTGAGGTCAGCACCCCCTTTTGTACACAGGGCTAACAGCAGAGTTTAGTGAGGTAGCTGCGGAAGGGAACTTGCCCATGGCCTCGTACTAGGGAGTTCCCAGAGCTCGAGGCGGGGCTCTGTGCCTCTAGGACCTAACAACACTGTCGGTTTTCCTCTGTGGACATGTGTACTCCATCTCCTCTATTACCTGCCAATCTGTCTTTAAAGCACAGATGCCTATTTCTTTGAAAGCTCAATGAGAGTGAAGGGAAAGGTGTCCCCTGCTCTGAGGCCGTCACTGCAATGAAGCTGCCTTGCAGCCAGTGACACTGGAGCTGAGGGCCTGGTCTTTGTGTACCCATTCCTGAGCAAATGGCTGTTTTCTTTCTCTTTTTTTGAGACAAGGTCTCTCTCCACCACCCAGGCTGGAGTGCAGTGGCACAATCACAGCTCACCACAGCCTTGAATTCCAGGGCCCCTGCGATCCTCCTGCCTCAGCCTCCCCAGTAGCCGAGACCACAGTTGGCTAATTTTTAGTAGCACCACCAGAGTTGGCTAATGAGAAAATTTTTTTTTGTAGAAATGGGGTCTCACAATGTTGCCCAGGCTGGTCTTGAACTCCTAGGCTCAAGCAATCCTCCCATTTTGGGCTCCCAAAGCGCTGGGATTACAGATGTGAGCCACCTGGTCTAGCCATGGCCGTTTCCTACAACAGGAAGGCCCTGTCCGAGCAACCTTTCATGCACATTTTAACATGAACAAAGCAGGGCACGAGGGAGCTGCCCGTTTCCATCCCCCTTGTACTTGGTGAGTTAATTCGGAAGAACATAAGCAGGAGAACCTTTCTCCATTTCTACAGAAGGCTGCTCCTTCAAGGAATACTTTTGGTCAGTCACCTTTACAGGTCAGATGTTTCTTGGGGAAAGGACCGTGCCCCTCCTGCCGACAGCTACATTCCCAGAACCCAGCAGGGCACCTGGTACAAAGCAGATAGTCATTAGAAAGAAGGAGCGCCACTGCCTTGTGATAAAGGCTCCTTTTACTACACTTAGGACAGTAAAGTTGTGTATTTATCCTGTAACGTATAAACATTCACCTGTTTATTTCCTGGATAATGTTTAACCTTGCTTAACCCAAACTGTTTTTACTTTACCAATTGCAATGACGTATTTCATGTCCCATTTGTCGAATTATGCAAAAATGTAACCTTTCCTTGGAGAATCGGGGCACTCATCAACACAACTGATGCTCCAGTGACAGGCAGTACTGCTGCAGGTCTCTCCCTGGCTGCAAGGGCTGGGCCTTCCCACCGCACCTGAACAGCGCATGAGCCGCACAGGCCCCTCTGTGTCTGTGCCTCAGCACAGGTCTGCAAGGGTTGGTCCACCCTACCTGGACGGCCACACGAGCCCACATGGGGCCCTCTTCTGTGCCTCAGCACTGGTGGTTCTCTCCGCTTTCAATGCCTCATCCGTCTGCTTGGTGACATCCTAGTTAACTCACGAAGCCCAGAGAAAACGACCCTTCCTTTGGCAGCTTTTCTGGCCCCCATCTCTTCTTCCCGGCCCATTGTCCCTGCCCTAGGGGAATGATCTGGCCTCTCCTGAGACTGCCCATTGCTTCTGCCCCCTCTTTGGCTGGAGAGTCCACTTTTATCACTTTTTTCTTTTTGAAAGAGACAGGGTCTCGCTCTTTCCCCCAGGCTGGAATGCAGTGACACGATCATAGCTCACTGCGGCCTCAACTTCCTTGGGTCGAGGGATCCTCTCCCAAAGTGCTGAGATTATAGGCATGAGCCATAGCACCCAGCCTGGAATGTTCACTTTTGTAGGTGCTTCCACCACTTAAGTTGATGAGCAATTTATTTTACCATCATCCTTACTTTATACCAATTCTGTGACCATAACCACAAGGACAGTGGTGGGAGCAGTGTCGCGGCCTCCTGGCACCTCTCCAAGGGCTCGCCTGGGAGGTTCCCACACCAGTGGCCTCTAAGCAGACTGTGCTTTCCTTGCCCAAACACAACACTCTAAATTCAGACAGGCCTCACTTCTGTGTATATTCGGGGTTAAATATATTCTAAAAGTCAACAAAACATAAAAAGCCAAAATAATCCACCTTTGGATTCCATTCCATTTCGTTGTCAGCAGGTTTCACCCTACAGACAATAAACTCCACAGCCTGCGGGGGAAGCGCGTGGAATTGCTCCGGGAGATGCAGCAGCTGGTCCCTCATGATGAGCCTCGTCCTGCCTTCGTCAATGAACTCTACGAGGACGTCGTCCGGGGCCCAGGCGTCTTCTTTCCGGCTCACTTCCAGCACCTGAACCCTAGAGAGCAATGGGGCATCGGTTCAACACAGAGGTCCCAGAAAAGATCATCTTTGTCCCAAATTACCATGAAATGGAAGACATACAAAAAGAAACTCTATAATTGTACTCTATACTAGAAATGAAAAACTAAGGCCTTCAGAAATTCAAGTGGTGGATTAAAGTGTACATAAGTATGAAAACATGTAGTACTTTTGAACAGACTAAATCCTTTTATCTAACTACAGGTATTGATCGACTTATGACCTATGCAACTTATGACCATTCAACTTTACGACCACAATCGATAGCCACGACTGCTCCGCGTCTGGCAGCGCAAACGTTGCCCAGCTGGGCGTACGACAGTGCGGACCAGCTTCTGGCAGCACTACCATCTCCGCGTGCACCATTTCAACTGTACATATAGCCTACTCAACTTACGACCAAATTGTGTTACGACCGGTCCGTGGTCCCGAACGTGGTCGTAAGTCGAGCACTAGCTGTACATGATAAAAATTAACATAGTAAATTAGCTTCAAAGTTATTTATTTTATTTTGTAGAGACAAGGTCTTGCTCTGTCACCCAGGCTGGAGTGCAGTGGCATGATCATAGCTCACTGCAGCCTTAACCTCCTGGGCTCAAGCCATCTACTCACCTCAGCCTCCCAAAGTGCTGGGATTAGAGGCATGAGTCACATCACCTGTCAAGTTTCAAAGTTTCTGAATTCAAGGCTATCATCAAGTGGTACCAGCTGTGGATTCAAGGCAAGTGGGTGCAAACGTGATTCAAACTGACCAGATTGGAACACACTATGCCAGGTATCAAGCTTACACCATGTTCATAACATCACCAAGGCTCAGTTTTCTTATCTGTAAAATGGGCATGATGCCCACTTGATAGGAATTAGGCAAGAATTAAGTGACGTAAAGATGTATGTGTATATTGCACGCAGTAATGGCTCAACACGTCACAGTGTCACTGGGTGCAGGAGCCTGGGAAATAGTTTCCCATGAAGAACTGAAGCAGGCATCTGGAGGGACACCCTGCTGTCACCAGGCTCACATACACACTGAGTCAAACAACAGAGGTGGAAATCGAAACTCAATACCATCAGTTACCTCATGCTTCAAAACTTTACAGATGAAATAAACAGATGTTACCTGTGAAAAAGTGTTTTTTCTGCGAATCCATACAATCCAAACTTCTCCACCTTTTCCACAGTTGTTTTATTATTGGAATCCTTAAAATACTCATTCATTTCAGCACTGAGAGTTGCATACAGATCCATGTTTTTATCAATTACACGGCCAAAGTAATTTGTTGCATTCAAAATATAAAAGGGCATTATCTGAAACATATATAGTAAACATGACCAGGAAACAAACTTAGTCTAAACTGAAGATGTACACACTCCCTGTATCTGCAGAAATCAGTACCTAACCTAAGAACCCAAAGCTTAGTAATGTGGATTTGGAAATAAACTAGGAAGCTAGCCAAAAAACCAAAGCAAAATCAATACCTCACACCATAGTCACAAAGAATTAGAGTTTCACTTTAAATCTAGTGAAAGAAGATTTTTTCTTTTGCAAATTTCATTATTTTAAAACCTCATTATTAGGTGTAAGTGTTCTTTTGTTTACCTTCTAACCGTACTTTTATAAAAATTCTTCTGAAAATATCACTGCTGTCTCTTGACACCTTCTGATCTTTTTTCAGGTAACAGATGCATTTTATCAAGAGTCTACTGTATACCAGCCTCCAGGGTTACAGGGATGAAACCGCATCCTACAGAGACCCTCAGCAATCCAGAAGTGGACAGAGAGGCCACAGCTTGCATGTGCTGGAGAAGACAGCCCTTCACAGGTTAGAGTAGGCAGGGGAACAGTGTGCAAGGCAAGTCTGCAGAGGGCACAGATGCTCTGTGTGAAGGCAGGGAACCCTGGCTGCCCAGAGTGGATGCCAGGAGTGAGAAGTAGGCACTTGGCAGAATGGGAGAGAGGGTCAGGCTCGTGACACCCACAGGCATCAGTGTCTGTGCCTGGGCAGGAGGAAACAAAGTGACAGACCTGAGAACAGAGAGCTCTAGAAGAGGCCAGAGGCCCTCCCTGGAAATGGGCTCAGTCAGTGCAACAGGTGAGCCCAGGAGGCTTCACCTACCCCCACAGTGGGTGAAGGCTGGAGCCCCTGCAAAATCTCCACCCTCTCTCTCCAGGGACAAGAGGCATGAAGGAAGAGAAAACCAGATAACTATGTCACCATATTTATTTTACACAGCATGTAAAACAACAGAAACGGGAACTCTGTGAAATCAGAAAAGTTACCCTGACGCACACCACCTCCAAAATGTCAGGAAAACATATTTTACCTAAAAACAAGCAATAGCAAAGTAACACAGTCAAATCCGATATTAAGTCATCATAAAGTAATAAAACATAATATGTAAATAAAATTAAAAAGAGAATAAAGAGAAGAACAGTCTCTACAGACAATGAAAGCTGTTAGAAAGATACATCCACAAAACAGATCAAAACTATAACATTCGATTTCAAGAAAACCTGCTTTTAATTTGTTAACTAAGAAAATGATACGTGTATAAAAGAGTAACAGATCAGAGTTAGAACAACTTAGAACTGAGGTGACAGAACACAGGAAAGACTTAGAAATTTTTTTAAAAATCCAATAATGAAAACTGTAGTGGGTTGGATGGTGGCTCTCCCAAAAAAGGCATGTCCATGTTCTTTTTTTTTTTGAGACGGAGTTTCACTCACGTTACCCAGGCTGGAGTGCAATGGCGCGATCTCGGCTCACCGCAACCTCCACCTCCTGGGTTCAGGCAATTCTCCTGCCTCAGCCTCCTGAGTAGCTGGGCATGGTGGTGCGTGCCTGTAATCCCAGCTACTCAGGA